GCATTCATCAGAAAGAATGGAAGTTGAATTTACCTCATAGTGTTTCTTCTATCTGAACAATTAATTACATGGAGGAAATTCATATATCAGAAAGGTAAGCATAAAGCTTAAAACTAAATAGAAGGGTTTCTTCTGTTGCACAATATTCTAAGCTAGAGATGTTCTAAGTAAAGCTTAATACGTCCCATCACCTCGTCAGTCACCCAAAATAGTATTTCTGTCTTTGGTTTGGCCTCCTACGTGCATTCCACTTTCCCTCAGAAGATTCCTAGCCTGAAAGTCCTTTCTTAGCTATATATCTGGCTATAAAAGGCTGGATGCTGACTGGTAAATTCTATTCTTTATGCCTTCATTCTTATACAGGTAACAAAGAAGCGGAAAGCACAAAGAAAATTTGTTGCTTTTTGACAACAAATAAGTGTTAAAGTAATTAGTGGGTTTCCATGCCAATAGATGTCAAAATTACTGCCTTAACTGCCTTCACACCATTGGGTCTAAGATGTTCAGAAGAGAAACCTTTTAAGATTAAATCTCCCAGGCTGAGTAATCTGTTTATGCCCTAAGTATAATAATCCTAAATAAAACATTTCCATGATTTCCAGAAATGCAACCTTCTGTGTAGATTTCATTTACCTATTGGTGATTAGGAAACATACATATCCACACACCATGCCCAGAAATGTATTCTAAATTAAGATTTAATGTGTAACCAGAAATCTTCCTTGTTGGAAGTGCCCAAATCTGATATAATATCTATCTTCCTCAACATTTTGAGTTGCTTTGCCAAAGCAATGAGCAGAAATAATTAGACTGAACAGCCATCTAGTGTTTTTAATGCTGGGACCAAACTATGCTAATTGGTCAAGGAAGAGTGCCAGTGCTACTGTGGAGTGTTAGACAAATATGAAGATGGCTTTGTGTATGAATATTGAACTTAGAATAATAGAGTTGGAAGGAACTTGGATGTCTTCTAATCCAATCCCCTACTTGAGCAGGAGACCCTATACCATTTTAGACAAATGGTTGTCCAGTCTCTTTTAAACCCTCCAGTGATAGAGCACCCACAATTTCTGAATTCAAGCTGTTCCATTGGTTGATTGCTCTCATCATTAGGAAATTTCTCCTTAATTCTAGGTTGCTTCTCTCCTTAGTTAGTTTCCGTCTATTGTTTCTCATCTTGCCTTCTGGTGCTTTGGAAAATAGTTTAACCTCCCCGCTCATCTTTGTAGGAGCCCTTCAAATATTGGAAAACTGCTATCATTTCTCCTTGTCCTTCTTTTCATTAAATTAGACAAATCCAATTCCTGTAACAGTTCTTCATATGTTTTAGACTGAAGCCGCCTAATAAGTCTTGTTGCTGTTCTCTGCACTCTCTCCAGAGTCTCAACATCTCTTTTATATTGTGGTGACCAGAACAGAATGCAGTATTCCAAGTGTGGTCTTACTAAGGCTTTGTAAATTGGTACTAGAACTTCATGTGATCTTGATTCTATCCTTCTATTAATGCAGCCTAGGATTACATTGGCTTTTTTTTTTGGGCTGCTGCTGCTGCACAAGATTAGCTCTTATATGTGATTGTCCAAGACTCCAAGATCCAAGATGGGTATGGATTATTTTAGTTTGATACTTCATCAACTAGTCTCTCCTTATTTACATGATTTGTTGACAATTTTGGCTTTACCCGCATACTCTCTTAGGAGCCTTGAGATTTTGTATGCATTTGGTTAAAGTGGGTTTGCTTGTCTTCAATCTGCACAGTCTGAGCATTGTTCTTACTGCTGCACATTTTATTTATTTAATTAAATTTATCAAATTTCTTTGCTGCCTAGCATAGGCAATTGTGTAGAATTTACTTAGGACTGTGCCTTCACTTAAAAAAAATAGCCCAAATTATTTTCTATTCCCCTATCATTAAAAATAACCTGGAGGAAGTAAACCTTATTTAACAGAAAGTTTGGGGAAAGGTGTTCATTAAATCCATAAGTCTGAATTTATCTTTTTCATCAATTGATTGACATAAATCGTGTCTCTTTACTACTGAATTTAAGCAACAAACATTTGGTCTTTAAATGATGATAAATTCTGGATTAGCATTTGTTCTATCAAAGCTCTGTTAAACTAGTATTTTACTGAAATTATTTTGATTACTATCATTTTATTTTTATTATATTTACCTGACTCCCTTTACATTTACCAGGCTCACAAGACATAATTTAATATTCAATAAAAGGAAAATATGATAAAAATCACATTTATAAACAGTTTTGACTCTCAAAAGAACAAAACCAGCAGCATCTGTTAAGTCAAAACTGCAGCAACAGTAAGGTAACATTAATAGAAGATTTTGAAATAGAGCTTCACCATATTCCTAAAAGCTACTGATGAATGACCTTTCAGACTTCCTTTGAAAAAAGTTCCAGGATTTGCTGTTCTTAAAGCATTTCAGATTATTTAATTAATTGTTTTGTGTTGCTTTCAGCGAATGAACAGGCTATTGTATAAACTATCTTAAATTCATTTGCCAGTTTATCCCAACTGCCTGATCTTCATATAGTGTATAATTTAGAACTCTTTTATCCGATTGATAGTATGCTATACCATTCCCGATTTCCTGCTTTTTATTAGTTTTAGCATAATTTTTTTAATAGCCTTGTTAAAAACATGGAGTTTTGATTCAATTTTAGGAGATTTGCACATAATTGGCTCTGTTGTTTTAATGATAGACATTTAGACTAAGACCTTAATTATATCTGAATGCATTTAAGGCAAAGCAAATCATACGTTATCCTAGGGCCTGGAAAGCCAGTAGAAAAAGAAATAGACATGGCATGCCTTAAACATTTTTCAAAGGAAAATTAAAAACAAAAACAGGAAGTTGATTTTGAATCATGCTCATATCAGCTGCATTTGATTAAATGAGAGGGCAAGAAGAGATCTTTGATCTCATGGGCAACATAGACAAAATTCAAGGACAAAATGTTTACTAGGCAATATAATTTATACTTGTTATTTATGTTTGCTTAACCCTCTATTTGAACATGTATTACTAAACAATTAGAATTTTACATTACCAGTCTAATAATCTTGCAAAAGTCCAACATACATACTTCTTCTATCCCTCACATATTCCTTTCTTATGCATTTCTTATGCATTCTTATGCGTCCTTCTCCATCAGGAAGTTACAGAAAATGAGACTGGTGGTCAACCTATGATTGTCCAGATATAAGTGAAATGCATTTTTCATTAGCCATATTCAGGATGGCTTTTTGTAAAAAGATATTGAAGTTCAGCAATATTTGGAAGGCCTTTGTGAAAACAGTTATATTCTTTGAGATCTTATTAAGACATAAGACATAAGAATTTATTTGTCATTACACTCGCAAGCGGGTGCAACGAAATGAGGTGCTCTTCCACAAGTAAAACTGGACAACACCATTGAAAGAAAAATAAAATTAAACACAACAGACCATACAATAATCTCTATACAATTTAAAAATGTAAATACCCCATTACTCTCAGCCATTAAATTCCACAAAAATCTTATGACCCTGCATTCAAACTCAAAACTGCACTTGGATAAAAACTGTTCTTAAATCTAGTCGTCCTTGTTCTTAATACCCTGAATCTCCTTCTCGATGGTAATAGTTCAAAAAGCTGATGTCCCGGGTGAGAGGAGTCATTCAATATATTAAATATCTTCCTCTTACATCTATTCCTATACCGTTCTTCCAAAGAGGGGAGTGAGCAGCCAATGATGTTTTGGGCCATCTTAATCACCCTCTGAATTGCCTTTTTCTCTGCCACTGTGCAGCTCGAGAACCATACACAGAGACAGTAGGATAATATACTCTCAATTGAACTCCGATAGAAGGTAGTCAGTAGACTCTCAGCCAGTTGTTGTTTCCTAAGAATCCTTAGTAAATACAACCGTTGTTGTGCCTTCTTAATTAAAGCAGCGGTGTTTGCACTCCAGGTCAGGTCATTTGTAATGATGGTCCCGAGATACTTACATTCAACCACCTGTTCCACACGAACTCCCTCTATATACAGTGGCTGAATGTCTGCTCTTTTTTTCCTATAGTCCACTATAACCTCCTTGGTCTTCTTAATGTTAAATAGAAGATTATTATTTTTGCACCAGTGGGATAGCTGTAATACCTCATCCCGATATGCAGACTCATCATCCCCAGAAATAAGTCCTACAAGCGTAGTATCGTCTGCAAATTTTATTATCTTATTGTTGGGATGTTTATTTGTGCAATCAGATGAATAAATGGAGAACAGTAGTGGACTAAGGACACAACCTTGCGGAGTGCCAATGCTAAGTGTCTTGACAGTAGAAATATAATCATTCAGTTTAACTCTTTGTGGACGATTTGTTAAAAAATCCAATATCCATAAACAAATAGAATCTGGAAAATCTAGATCTTTGAGCTTGGCTATTAATCTGTGCGGTATGATGGTATTGAAAGCAGAACTAAAATCTGTGAATAACATTCTTACATAATTCCCCGGTGTTTCCAAATGGGATAAGGCCATGTGAAGCACAGTAATAATTGCTTAACATTGAGGCATTGTAACATGGAATAAGCCAGAGAAAGTTATAGAAAGGAAGGAATTGTACCTCATTCTTCCATGACTTTGTTTTCCACCCCCCACTTCACTCTGGAGTGCCCCACACCCTATGTATTATCACCCTGGCCCCTTGGATGACAATGTGACACCAATTGTGGGTGGGTGGTTACTGAGAACAGTAGTTCTCTACAGTGGCTTCTAGTCTCCATCCTTTGTTCAGCAATTGCAGCTGTTGGTTTAAAAGGTTTCCTGATGGGTTACTTCATGCTTTTCATGAGATTGATTAATGGTTGTTGAGGAAAAGGGAAAAGTACCTTTTAAAGAAATCCTGGGAAGTCTGAGAACAAAACAGTTCATTTTATTCTCCCACTCTCTTTTATTTTGCTATTCATTTTTGCCCCCCATGTTCTGCTTGATTTTTCAGATGTGAGTCAAACTTCCATCACAGGGGAACAATGTCAGCTCTTAGGTACAGTATTGCAGAGGCCTTTTGTGTGTGTTTGAGATGTATGTGTGTTTATGGTAAATGTATGTTATCCTGTTATTAACCGATCAGCTGATGTGGGGTTGAGGGCACACATCTCTGTTGGCTGCAGCTGTATGGGTGGGCAGAAGGAAGTTGAATGTCTCTGTGTTTGTGTGTGTGTATTTAGGAGTGTGTATATTTGTGTCTGAGAGAAAGAGATCTAATAATATTGTGCTGTGCAGTCATCATCAATAGAACTCATAAAATTTCCAGTAATGGGATATTTGCACTTTAATATATGTGTTTATATTTAAATATCTATTTTCTTGGTTGATTATATTCTTTAAAGGAGCAGTATAACTGCTTGTCAATTGCTTGGATTATGTTCTCATGAAAGAGAACATAAGTGGTCATACTGATATAAATAATATATTTTAACTAAAGAAAACAAGATGATGAATACCTGCTTTAGCATGGGTAAAAATACAGACTGGTTTATTTTTGTAGCATTTCGATTCAGCTTGACTTCATTTCGATACAAAATAGCTCTAACTCTCCAGATTCATTTACTTATTCAATTTATAAAGCTTCATCAAGCATACAGTTCATTGTTGACAATGTCATTCCTTCTGCAAGAAAGTTAGAATGTAGACCAGGGGAAAATTCCAGGTAGTCCCGTGCTTACAACAAGTTTGTTTAGTGACAGTTCAAAGCACCGAAAAAAGTGACTTATGACCATTTTTCACACTTACAATCATTGCAACATCCTCATGGTCACTTGATCAAAATTCAGACGCTTAGCAGCTGCTTCATACTTATATCCAGGGGTGGTCATGTGAGCTTTGTGACCTAACAAGCAAAATCCATGGGGAAGCTAGATTCACTTAACAATGGTGTTACTAATTTAACAACTGCAATGATTCACTTTACAACTGTGTCAAGAAAGGTTGTAAAATGGGGCAAAACTCCCTTAACAAATGTCTCACTTAGCAAAATATAAAAAATTGCACTCAAATGTGGTTGTAAGTCAGGGACTACCTGTCTTCTACCGTTCTATAGATTATCATATGTAATGACTACAAACTCAGTTTTGTTTGTGTTTTTGTTAAACCAAGATGGGTATCAGAAATTTGGGGTTGTTGAAACAGGATCAACATGCTTTTTGAAAGATCAAGGAGTCCTACATCTTCAGTCTGGGAAAACCTACTGGGTAAACAGTAGCAGATGATTATCTCTGTCAAAGGGAGTGTTTGTAGGATTCCGTAGATAAGAGTCAGCAAAACCATATCAGCAAAATAGCCTGGAACTATTTGTTCCAGCATGCTGGGGATGTTACTTTAGGATAACAATTCAATGAAACCTCATTCCTATTTCACTGAGTAGATGCTACATACTTTGAAAGCAGAATTCAGAACACAGAATCCTGTATTATCCCTTCATTCCCCTAAAATGGGGCAACTCATCCATTTTCACTTTTGCATAGCCAACTAACAGGCTATTTATTAGCCCCATATGAGCAGAATAGAGAAGTGACAGCATTTTAACTTTAATACAGATAGTCCTCGGCTGATAACAGTTCACTTAATGACCATTCAAAGTTACAACAACACAGAACATAATGACATGACAAACATGACAAAATAAATACAAAATTATTCATGTACACATATATATTACATGACACAGAGAAACATCAGTTATGTGATCAAAATTCAGGTGCTTGGCAACTGACTCATTTATGACAGTTGCAGTGTCCTAGGCTCATGTGATTACCTTTTGCGTCCTTATAAGCAAAGTCAATGGAGAACCCTGATTTACTTAACTATATCACTAGCTTAGCAACTATAGTGACTCACTTTAACAACTGTGGCAACTAGGTCATAAAATGGGGCAAAGTTAGCTTAACTCACTTAGTAATAGAAATGTTGAGTTTGGTTATGGTTGCAAGTTGAGGACTGCCTATATTCCTTTTGTTCCAAAGCCTGAAAGAAAAAGGGTAGGATATCAAATTCACCTCTGGCAGATTCTCAAAATTCCGTATCTGAAATCTATTGAAGAAGTCCCAGCAATAAATTTTGAATCAGTATATATTTCTATAATTAGTAATTTAATTCTGCTGTTCTGAGGCAAGAGACAAATAAGAGATTTTTCTCTCAAATAATGTTTGTTTTTGTGTTACTGTCTACATGGAGTCCAGAAACCGATATAATGTTTGGGGAATGGGTAGAAAGTTTCTACCTTCTGTTGGATGAGTGAATCAGGAGAATGAAAAACAATTATTAGCATATAAGAAGAGGCTGGGACTTTTAGAATTTCATTTCTTTTGAAACATATTACACCAATAAGTAATTTTAGGGTGCCTTGCTTGAAATGCTTTATTTCTAAAGATAGTCTATTTCTCTTGCCTATATCATCATGGATGAAAATTTATAAAAATGTATGAAGTATGTAAAATAGTAAAAAGGGCAATAGATTTTAAAGACATTTTTTAATGATTTGGTTTTTAAGAACCTCCCCTTCCCTCAAGGTTGATCTTAAGTTTTCACTTGAGAGAATGTTCATAATTAAGACTTTTTACAGGAGAAGTTGGCACACTCTGTATTCTTGAAAATTATATATGAACTGCTTTCAAACGTGTACCACCTTAATAAATGAACCAGCTATAGCTATGAAGCCCTTTATTAGTTTCTTTGTGGATAAATTTAAAATTAAAGAATGATGTCACAGAACCATGCATATAGGATTTTAGAACTTGGCTTCCTGTCTTTTAGTCTGTTTCTTCAGAATCTCCAGAAAAAAAGAGCTGGGTGATGTTAGGCAGCCCTCCAAGATAATAATAATTTTTTTAAAAGCACGCACTGACAGTAACATTGGCTAGATAGATTCTTGGAATTATATAATGGAGTATATGCACACTCACAATCTGAGATGTGTTAGGTAAGCTCCTCTTGATGTCTCAAGTGTGATCCCTACTGTGAAAATCTCCCACAATCTTGTGGGGTGAAGGGGTTTGTCATTGCCACCATCCCTGTTACCCCCCTCCCCCCCAAATCCTGTCTTCCTTTATTCCAAAGAAGATGAGCATTCCTGCTTTTTCAGAGCTAACAAAATGTGACAGGATGTGCTATAAGCTAAATTTCCATTTAGAATAAGATTACTGATTTCAGAAAAGAATACAAATTATTTATAATGGGGATTATTTGTGGAACCTGTTTACCATCAAAAGGACAATGGGGAAAGAAAGAAGGAAATGCAGGTTCCTGTTAGCAGCAAAGGCCTTTTAACGGCTCATCTGAGAAAAGGGGAAAACCTTGCTCCTCATTGGGTGCACAGAGTTTGAATTTCCAAGATTTTGGTCGTCTGTTCCTTTGTCTAGACTGACAAATTGAGTTTATGGTTTCTCCCCCTTATTCTTTCTGAATGTTCCCTGCCTGTTCTTTGTGACACATCTCTACCCTAAGAATAATAGAAATTGATTCCTGGAAGTTTTTTTTTTAATGAGCTGAGCAGACAAGTGCTTAAAACAGCAAATATTTATTCCTATTGTTCCTGTACAATGTCCAGAACTGGAGAAACAGATTTGGGCTATTCTTTCTCTCAAGCCATACTTTCTCTTCTACGTTGCAGATCCTGGACACAAGAAGGATTCCCAAACATTTCTTAACAATATCAACTATGAAGAAGGTGATGAATTCTTTGACAAGAATTTGGCACTCTTCGAGGTGAGATCACTGCTCGTTGCCCTTGTTTCACTTTCATGACTGTTTCCTAGTATGATTTATTGCTTATTGTACCCTATAACTATTATTAAGTATGTATACTGAGAGCATTTGCACCAAGACAAATTCTTTGTGTGTCCAATCACACTTGACCAATAAAGGATTCTATTTTGTTCTGTTCTATTCTTTTCCCACTTCCATCATATCCAGGTAGTTCTCGACTTATAACCACGATGGACCCCCAAATTTCTGTTGCTAAATATTTGTTAAATGAATTTTTCCCCATTTTACAATCTTTCTTGCTACAGCTGTTAAGTGAATCACTGCAGTTGTAGTTAGTAACATGGTTCTTAAGTGAATCTGGCTTTCCCATTGAGTTTGCTTGTCAGAAATTCACAAAAGGTGATCACATGACCCCGGGACATTGCAACCATCATAAATATGAACCAGTTGCAAAGCATCCGAATTTTGATCAAGTGACCATGGTGATGCTGCAACAGTCATAAGTGTAAAAATAGATCATCAGTCACTGTTTTCAGTGCTATTGTAACTTTCATTGGTCACTGAATGAACTGTTGTAAGTCGAGGAATATCTATACTTTCAATATCAATCTATGTCTGTATTCTTTCTCCTTGTATCTTGTAATATAATTTATGGATAAGACCTTTTCATCTTAATTCAAGTTTCTGGGCTGTTGCATAGAGAAAGTGCAATTACTCTAAATTCTGTATGTTGAAAAAAAATTACCTGTCTTTTTAAAGAGCTACTCATAGTAACTGTAAAAAAAAAAGTTTTGAGAGAGAGGCCAGTCTTGTTGTTTTGAGTTTTCTGAAAGTCTGAAGAAAATTTAATGAAGATGCAAACAAGAAAGATTTGCGAATGCGTAAACCTGTAGAATAACTAGCTTATTTTAGTCCATTCTTGTTTTTTTAGCTTCCATCCTTCACTACTTTCAATACTTCATTTATTTATTTTTTCCTTCATCCATGTTAAACGGACTTTTCATTGCAATTTTTTCTCATGTCTACTGTCTTCTGTCCCACTTGTTAGGAAGAGATGGATACGCGACCCAAAGTGTCTTCCCTGCTCAATCGAATGGCCAACTATACCAACTTGATGCAGGGAGCCCGTGAACACGAGGAGGCAGAGAATGTCCCTCCAGGCAAGAAAAAAATCACCAAGGTAAGGAATGGCACCAAGAAATTTTATGGGATGACATCTTGACATGAAGCAAAAAAAAAATGTGTTTAAGATCAGGAGCGATAGAATTTATATTTTCTTCCATGATTGTAGTAGAACTAGAGAAATCTACTGTCCTGAACATTTGATTTCCTCGAGATATGTTTGGGTCTTCTTACAAAAGCTTTCATTTTTTGTGTCCTGAAAGAAATATTTCTAAATCCTGGACTTTAACATGTAATTCTTGAGACTTAAACAAGTAGGGTTAGATTAACAAGCTGACAGAGGTACATTTTTTTCTCATTTTGTTTTATATGCGTCACACATATGAGCTTTATTGGCCTTTCTAGAGTTTCTGAGAACTTCAGCTTCATACGAAGGTTCACTTTGGTAATTCTTAAACATTGCCTCAAAACTGATTATGCCCAGTGGACTTACTGATCTTCATCTGCATTCCTTCTGACCACCATTGAGTCAGCATCTAGGAAAACACTGTTACCTATCCTGAGCTCAGGAAGCATTAACCTGGATATTACAGTTAATGAATCTTGTGAAGCAAGCAGGATCAAAGAAACAAAGCCGAGGAATAAAGAAATTTCAAGTTTTCATTGCATAGGTGGTCCTCCACTTAAAGACAACAATTAAGCCCAAAATTTATATTGCTAAGCAAGTGAATTTTGCTCTATTTTCCATTCTTAAGTGAATTTTGCTCCATTTTATGACTTTTCCTACCACGGTTGTTAAATGAATTACTGCAGTTATTAACATAGTTGTTAAGTGAACCTGGCTTCCATATTGACTTTACTTGTCAGAAGATTGTGAAGGGTGATCATGCATGACCCTGGGACACTGCAATGGTCATAAAAACGAGTCAGTTGCCAAGATTTTGATCATGTGACTATAGGGATGCTATAATGCTTGTGTGAAAAATGGTCATGTCACTTTTTTTCAGTGCCGTTGTAACTTCAAATGATCATTAAATGAACTGTTGTAAATTGAGGTCTGCCTGTATAGAGATGTTGGTCTTAACACTCTGCCTGTCTTTCTCCTCCTCTTCTACTAGATTCCACAGATGGGCACATTCATGGGAGTCTACTTACCTTGCCTGCAGAACATCTTTGGAGTGATTCTTTTCTTGCGTCTTACTTGGGTTGTGGGTACAGCTGGTGTGCTGCAAGCCTTTACCATTGTCCTTATTTGCTGTTGCTGTGTAAGTTAACCTCTCTTACAAGTTTGTATCACATTATGTTACCACAGTCTCTGATATACAGGAAAGCGTGGGGTGGAAGAAACTTCTGATCTTGAGGAAGGAGAAATTATGCTCACCAACATTAGGATCCTATGGCTGAGATGTCAGTGCAAAAATAATCGTCTTTGTAAATGTAGTCCATTTTTGTGTCAAGATCATTGGTGATCTTTATTTCCATATCTGTTCTTCCCCATCTTTGGTTAATTCATTTCTGAATTTTTGGAAACATCTATCTTCCCACCTGACTTAAAACCATTTTGCTCACTTCCACCTTGGTCATTTTTGTCTTCGTTACCTATAATAACAAGGAAAATTAAAAGAAGAATGGACATAATTTTGATTTTTATCAAAATGTAAAAGTAAATGGGAGGGTAGGAAGCAAATTTAGGCTTGTCAAAATAATAGCCAAAAGTTATAAGCTCTATCAGTGATTCTTAACACATTAGAAACTAAGAATTTGCATCTGTCTTATATTTGTTTCCTAAATATTTCTGCTGACTATTTCTCATCTCCTTAGACATTGCTGACAGCCATCTCCATGAGTGCTATTGCCACTAATGGAGTAGTGCCTGGTAAGTACTAACTGTTTAAAAAACACTTTCTCCCATGTGTACAGTACCAGCCTTCAAATCAGATCATATTCCACAGAAATCTCGTTAGTTGTTATGGAGAATGTTGTTCCTGCCCTTTCACCGGTGGCCCACAAAGCATGGAATTCTTTCTCTAATCATGGTTATAGCAATAGCACTTAAACTTAAACATTTACTTATTTATTGAATTTATATTGCTGCCTATACGACCATGGTGACTCAAGGCATCTTACAGAATATAAAACCACATTAAAACAATAAAAACTAACAAAAAGAATCAAATAAATATAACAAAATCACCCCCCCCCCTTGTGACAGCTGATCACACGACCCATTCTCCATCCCGTTCTGGGTTCTGCAGGCCCATTGGCAGAACCAGGTCTTCAGTGCCTTCTGGAAAAGTATTAGAATGTGGGCCATTCTAATCTCTGGGGGAATGATGTTCCAGAGAGAGGGAGCCACCATGGACCTCTGGGTCCCACTAAGTATATTTCCCTCAGGGATGGGACCCGCAATATTCTCTGCCTCCCTGCTCTGATGGGTCAAGTATGACTGGCAAGAGACGGACCCTCAAATAGCTTGGTCCCAAGCCATGAAGGGCTTTAAAGGTGACAACCAGCACCTTGAATTGTTCCTGGAAGCAAATTGACAGGCAATGCAACTCCCGCAGGAGGGGTGATACATGTGCACACCTGGATCTGCACAAAACCATGCAGGCTGCTACATTTTGCACCAACTGGAGCTCCCTCTAGTGCTTTACAGCACTGTCTGAGTGGTTTACACAGTGACAGCATATTGCCTCCAACAATCTGGCTCATTTTACTGAGGATGGAAGGCTGAGTCAACCTTGAGCAGGTCAGAATTGAATTCAAGGATTGATTGTGAGAAGAGTTAGCCTGATACTGCACTCTAACCCATGCGCCACCAGGGCTCACCAGGGTTAGAAGTAGTCCTCGACTTACAATAGGTCATTTAGTGACCATTTGAAGTTACAGTGGCACTGAAAAAAGTGACATGATAGTTTTTCACACTTATGAGCATTGCAGCATGGTCACATGATCAAGATCCAGAAGCTTGCCAACTAACTCAAATTTATGAGTCAGTTGCAATCATAAACTGCAGAGTCATATGATCACTTTTTGCGACCTTGTGACAAGCAGAGTCAGTGAGAAAGCCAGATTCACTTAACAACTGTGTTACTAACTTTGCAGTGATTCATTTAGCAATTGTGGCAAAAAAGGTCATAAATAGAGCAAAATTCACTTAACCGTCTCACTAATTTTGGGCTCCATTGTGATTGTGTTAAGGACTACCAATATGAGTTTGGCAATAAAAGACTTGACCCTGCTAATTTAAAGTCTAGCCTTAAATGTTCTATCCAAGAAATTAAATGTGCAGACATGCATATTGTAAATTGTTTTGTGTCTTTGGGGTTGATTTTATCCTGCTGTTGGTTTTACTATACTTGAGAGTTTGTTTTTGAAAGGCACGGGGCAGGTCTTTCTGAAAAGTGAGGGGGTTGGAATGAATGAAAAAGCAAGGATAATAAGATTTCCCCTCTGCATCTTCTGTCTTTCTGCAGCTGGAGGATCGTACTTCATGATTTCACGAGCTCTGGGCCCTGAGTTTGGAGGAGCTGTAGGACTCTGCTTCTATCTCGGCACTACCTTTGCAGCTTCTATGTACATCTTGGGGGCTATTGAAATCTTCCTGGTAGGTATTCGGTACCTCACAGGAGAACCCATAAGATACAAGGCGGTGTTGTAATTATGAGGTGTAAGTCCTGTCAGTCGGCTACAGCTCTTCTGAGAAGCAGGAGACTGCAGATCGGAGCGTCTCTTGCTACCATCTTGCCAACTCCGCATCTTTTTTTTATTTTCACTCCTCTGACTAGGCCGAAGGTGACGTGTGACTCATTCTTGCCTCCTCTCAGATGTACATTGCCCCCAAGGCAGCCATCTTCCACAGCGATGATCCCCTGAAGGAGCCAGCAGCCATGCTGAACAACATGCGGGTTTATGGCTCGGCCTTCCTGCTGCTTATGGTGCTGGTGGTATTTGTGGGAGTGCGTTACGTGAACAAGTTTGCTTCTCTTTTCCTGGCCTGCGTCATCGTCTCCATTCTGGCTATTTACGCTGGTGTCATCAAGTCTTCCTTTGCACCTCCTGATTTTCCGTAGGTTACTAGAATACTCTGAGACGGCTCACCAAACTCTCATTGAAATCTGTGGCAAGAGGGTGGCTTTCCCACCATCCTGTCCCTAGAGGTGTTGGGAAATACAGAATGGCTGGTAAAAGAGCTGTGCTCTCCTTAGTGCTTTCTGAGTTTGGTTGTTTTCTTGCAGATGTTTCATTATCCGAACTAGCTAACGTCTAGCTAGAAAGAAAACAGCCCAGCTCAGAGAACACCAAAGGCCCCTTATTTCAACCCTGAGCTATAAATATTCTCCTTCATTGAGAATTTCCTTCCCAACCCTAGAATTTCTAGTTTGTGTGTGCAAACAAAACAACTCGCCATTCCCACAGATAGTAGCATGTACCACAGTTCACATTTGTCCCCTTTTGAAGTCCAACCAATTTGCTTATCTTTATTTCTCTCTCCATTCAGTGTGTGCATGCTGGGGAATCGTTCCCTCTCCCAACACCATATTCAGACATGTGCCAAGACCAAGGAGTATGGTAACCTCACCATACCAACATTCCTGTGGACACGCTTTTGCAACCATAGCAGGCTTCTCAACGCCTCTTGCGATGAGTACTTCCAACACAACAATGTCACTGCTATCCAAGGAATTCCAGGACTAGCCAGTGGTGTTTTTACTGGTGAGAAAGGGTTCCTTATGTTCTTTGTCTAGCCAAAGTGCTGTTGCTTTCTTCTGTATTGCTCTTTGAGTCATTTCTTAGACTTAGAATAACTTTATTGTCACTTTGAAGGTACACTAATCAGCCTACATTAAAATGAAATATCATTGCATACAGCTCTCAAAGGTCACCACCTCCAATATACACTACATAAACATGACAAAATAAATAAATAAATAAATAAGTACAAAACAATGCATATACCATTTGGAATATGAAACAGAGAAACAACACAGCCAGGTTGGAATATATACATTACATGGCAAGAAAAACAAATCTTTCGAATTTACCAGACGGATGGCATAGGGAACAAAGCTGTTACAGAATCAGATACTTCTGCTAGAAATACTTTGAAACCTCCCTCCCAAAGGGGAACAACAGAAGCAGACCATAATGTGGGTGTATGGGGGTCTCTAACAATGCATTGAGCTCTAAGCTTTCGCGCTTATAAGCAGTATCTGAATGACGGGAAGCGAGCTTTCTATAATCTTCTCAGCTGTCCTTACTATTCTCTGTAGAGACTGCTATCCGAGGCACTGCTAGCATGAAACCAAACAGTGATGCAGTTTGTTAAAACACTGCCTTTGTAAAAAGTGGTCAGGATAGAAGGAGAAAGATTATAATAGTGTCTGTGAAGTTTCTTTTTCTCAGCCTAATCGTTAAGCAAATTGTGGGATGGGGGGAACACTATTACACTGTCCAGAGTACTTCAAATAAATGATAGGGTGATGATAGTGGTGATGGTGATGATCATGATGATGATGGTGCCATAATTGCAGAGAACCTTTGGAGCAGCTACCTGATGAAAGGTGAAATACTTGAGAAGCCATCTTTGCATGCAGTTGATGTGGGAGGAGCTCTGAATCAGCAGTATGTCTTGGCTGATATCACCACTTCTTTTACTCTTCTTGTGGGCATATTTTTCCCTTCTGTCACTGGTAAGTGCCAGTGTGTTTTGTTGAGCTCTCTGTTCAGGGGGGTTTCAAAACCAAACCATATTAGAAGGGTTGATTTGTTAGTTATGAGGCCTTTACAGGTAATCCTTGACTTACAACAGTTCACTTAGGGAAGTTACAATGGCCTGAAAAAAGTGACATGACCATTTTTCACACTTAGACCATTGTAGCATCCCCATGGTCACGTGATTTACATTAAGATGTGTGATAACTGACTTATAGTTATGACAGTTGCATTGTCCTGGGGATCATGTGATCTCCTTTTGCAATTTCAGAAAAGCAAAGTCAATGGGAAAACTAGATTTGCTTAACAACCATTTTACTGATTTAACAACTGCAGTGATTCACTTAACAAATTGGTAAGGAAAGTCTCACTGAGCAACATAAATTTTGATCATAAGTTGAGGAATACCTGTATTTGGACTCCTGAAGATTTCAACTGCAATTTCTCAACTTTAGTAAAAGGACCTTTATCCTGGCTAGATTAAGACCAATAGAAAGGCAAGATTCAGATTTATTGTTGCTTTTTCCCAAGTTGAACCAACTCTGCTTAGTTAACATTTAATTTTATCAAAGCAATGGTTGTTCTACTAAAAGCTTTTATATAAAATACCAGTCAGCGCTGTTCTTCGTTATTCATTCAGTCACATAAATGTACATTCCGGAAATGGATCGACTCTTGTTTAAATGTTGTTTTCATAGGAATCATGGCTGGGTCAAATCGTTCAGGGGACCTAAAGGATGCCCAGAAATCTATTCCCATCGGTACCATCTTGGCTATTCTCACCACCTCTTTTGTGTGTATCCTTTGCAACAGCTGGAGGTGCTTCCAGACTACCAGCCTCCTTACATTCTATTCCTTCTAAAATCAGTTTAATAGGAAAATCAAGATTGATAAGGACTGCTTTGCATAGATTTATAATAATTTTGACACAAGCATAGGCACATTTATCTCTTTGTGAATCTGGAACTTGTAGAGAACTAGCAAACAATTTCAGTTGCTCTTTTAGTCCAGTATCTGGGTAGAGCAGAGTTTCTTAACTTTGCAACATTAAAATATCTGGACTTCAACTCACAGAATTCCTGAGCCGGCATGTCCAAACATATTAAAATTGCTTAAGTTGAGAAATAATGGTGTAGAGGGAGCTATCAGAACTTCATTTTCCTCTTAACCGACCTTCCTCACTCTTGACCAAAGAAAATGCCTTGCTTAGATTCTGGAATTTGGACTCCTTTAATAAAGCCAGTATGTTGCTTTAACAAATTCCAGATGTTTTGGGGCACACTGAACCCAGAATCCTCTCTAATGAGGATTACTGCTTTGTTGTCTTGAAATTATGTTTCCTCGCCCACAGATAAAAAGCTACTCGCAAGGAAACACATCAAAGCTGTTTACAATTTCAGCCCTGTAGTTCATCTTGCATTGATTCCAGGACCATGCCTTTGGCAGATACCTGGCTAGAATATGTTAGGATTAATAAATGATTTGATAGAGTTAGCTTATGAGAAGACTAGTTGTTCATTTTTACTGCCTTGTTCTTTGCACAAAAATTACCTTTGACTCTGCCTCCTTAGATCTTAGCAATGTAGTGCTATTTGGGGCATGTGTAGAAGGCGTGGTACTCAGGGACAAGTAAGTAATGCTCCCTTGGCTTTCTCTAATTTTATAATTTTCCAATACTAGAAAATGCTGGTATATTTTTTATGTGTGTAGATTTTAGATTGCGTTGGCTATAAAGTTCCTTTGTGGTCAACCTCGGGAATGCTTGATACATGCTTCTTTTTTAAACCAGATATTTGTGATTAGAGGTAGTTTGATGTATTGGTTAAGGCAGTGGTCCTCAATCCCCAGGCTGTGCAAGAATGGACTGTGCGAGAATGGCTGTGCAAGCAGTTGGCTGACGTACATATGCACGCATGAAGTTTGACTTGCGCAAGTGGTGGGCAGGTGTGCTTGCGCTCTCTCTCTCTCTCTCTCTCTCTCTCTCTCTCTCTCTCTCTCTCTCTCTCACACACACACACACACACACACACACACACACACACACACACTTACTTGCGCTAGCAGCAGGCCAATTTTCTTCTCCCTACCCACCATAAAGGTTGGAGACTGTTGGATTAAGGCATCAGGTTATAAACTGGGAGACCAGGAGTTTTAGATCTGCCTTAGGCAAAACAAGCTGAGTGATCTTGGGTTAGTCATCTGCTCTCAGGCCCAGGAAGCAGGGAAGGTCAAACCACTTATGAAAATTTTGCCAAGAAAACTCCAAAGATTACTCCAGGGAGTCACCAGTACACAAAGGTATGTGTGTGTGCAACACAGACACATTATCATTTTCTTTTGCTCCTTTTCCTATGGCTTGGGTCTAGTTAGTATGCAATAATACATCTATTTTATCAGGAAGTCCCTTTTAAGTTGCTCTAAATAGCAACAATGAAAAAGGATCCTCATCCGTCTGGCCACCTTATAAATGTCCCCGATACATTAGGATGATTTCTGGGTGACAGAAGTTACTAAACTTGATGAGCTCTTCCTGAACCAGGAAAATTCTCACATATAGGAATGGACACTATGAGTTGTATTGTTTCTACTGGAATCAGAAAGACCTTTGCAATGAAATTGTATGGATCTAATAATATAGTACAGGTAGTCTAAAACTTACGACAGTTCATTTAGTGAACATTCAAAGTTACACTCAAAGGTGTGTTTTTTTTTCAAGAGGCAACTGGAAAGGTAACATATTAACAGAGTTGGAAGGGACCTTGCAGGTCATCTAGTTCAGCAGTCGCCAACCAGTGGGCTGCGGCCCAGTGATGGGCCATGAGAAAATTTTGGTGGGCCGCAGAGAAATTCATCCCCAGAGCCCCCCCCCAGCAATTAATCCAGGCTGTGCAGAAACACAAAACTGAGCCGCCCACAGGAACCCTCCCTGCCAACTCACTTACCTGGCAAACTTGCCTTCTAAATTACTATTTTTCCTTTTTCCATCCATCATCTGTTCTGCTGTGCCAGGAGATTTAGATTAGCTAGGAAGCAGGAAATAGTTGGATTTCTTGCTTTCTAGCTAGTCTTTGGATCTTTGGCTCTGCCTTTAAGCACAGCTGAACCTGTCTTAGGACTGAAGGTTCTATTATTCAGTGCAGACTCACAGCAAGCAAATTTTATGTGACAGACTGAGCTAGCCGATGGCAGATAGATAAATTGCTGAATGATTCTGTGAGCAACTCAATCTGCCTGCCTGCTTTGCCTGATTTTGGGTAAAAGTTGCTCTTTTTTATAAAAAATTCAATATTTATATAAATATTTATAGTATTTACATACAAGCCATGCCCAGCCAGTCACATGACCACCAAGCCACACCCACAAATTAGGCCACGCCCACAGATAGTGGTCCCTGCGATTTAAAATTATGAGTTTGGTGGTCCCTGAGGTCCAAAAGGTTGGCTACCCCTGATCTAGTCCAACCTACCGCCCAAGCGGGAGACCCTACACCATTTCTGACAAATGGCAGTCCAATCTCTTCTTGAAAGTCTCAAGTGATGGCGCTCCCACAACTTCTGTTCCATTGGTCGATTGTTCTCACTTTATGGTTTTTCTTTGAAGACGTTTTGCTTCTCATCCAAGAAGCTTCTTCAGCTCTCTGAAGCTACTTCTCTTCTCTGAACAACTGAAGAAGCTTCTTGGATGGGGAATGACACGTCTTCAAAGAAAAACCAGAAACTCCAGTTGCCTCTCGAAAAAAAGCACCTTTGGGACAACCAGGACCTGGATGCCTGAGAATCTCCATAGACATTCAAAGTTATGATGGCACGGAAAAAAGTGACTTATGACCATTTTTCACACAACTGCTACATCCACATGATCAAAATTCAGATGCTTGGCAACTGGTTCATATTTAATGACCGTTGCAGTGTCCTTGGGTCAGGTGTGATCCTCTTCTGTTAACTTCTGATAAGCAAAGTCAATGGGGAAGCCAGACTCAACCAATGTACCAACTTGACAACTGCAATTGATGATTCACTTAACCGCTGTGGCAAGAAAGGTCGTGAAATGGGGCCAAACTCACTTAACAAAAGTTTTCATTTAGCAGTATAAATTTTGGGCTCCATTGTGACCGTAGGTCGAGGACTGCCTATAGAGCATATAATTTTTTTCTCTAGTTTTCTTCAGATGCACCTCTAGCTGTGAAGCCTTAAAAGATTCAACTTAACATTTTATTCTTGTGTCCATCCGATAGATTTGGCGACACAGTCAAGGGGAACCTGGTGGTGGGCACCCTCTCCTGGCCATCTCCTTGGGTCATTGTCATTGGCTCGTTCTTCTCCACATGTGGAGCTGGGCTGCAGAGTCTCACAGGTGCACCCCGGCTATTGCAGGCCATAGCTAAGGACAACATCATACCCTTCCTGAGGGTGAGTGGCCATATTTTGCTTTCAGATAGGGAATGTGTAAGGGTTAAACCATGCTCTCCCTAGTTCTCTCACATACGCATTTATTTTAGGTCTTTGGCCATGGTAAAGCTAATGGGGAGCCTACCTGGGCTTTGCTTCTGACAGCCGGAATTGCAGAACTTGGGATCCTGATTGCATCCTTGGACATGGTGGCCCCTATTCTCTCCATGTAAGTCTCCTCTTTCTCGTGGGTTGGGGTCCCAAGGAAATGCACCTTGCTGACACCACCAGATGCTTCTCTAGGTTCTTCCTGATGTGTTACCTCTTTGTCAACCTAGCCTGTGCCTTACAAACTTTACTACGCACCCCCAATTGGAGACCACGCTTCCGGTACTACCATTGGTAAGAGCACTCTATTACCTAACTGTTGAAAAGGAAGCGGGGGGGGGGGGGGGGAGGGGTGCAGAAGAGGAAGGGGGGGGGGGGGTTTAGACTCCTGAACTCCTACAGGCTGGTAGTGAAAAAGAAACTTGGTCTCCAGATTATACCTAAGAGGGCAACAGGGGGCCAGTAAGACCAATAAGTTGTTCATATTCCTTTTGGTTGAATTCTAGCTCCCACAGTATTTAGGAAACCGTGTGTGTACCCTTCTCCTTCCAATTTCTCTCCTCATAGGATACTCTCCTTCATGGGCATGAGTATCTGTGTGGCGCTCATGTTCATCTCCTCCTGGTATTACGCAATTATTGCAATGGTGATAGCTGGCATGATCTACAAATATATAGAGTATCATGGGTGAGTGCTGTTTTGGATTTGGTTCTGTGTGGCCTCTGCCCAGTGAGGATTTCTTGTAGTTAGATTTACTCCCTTCCTAACCCTGATCCTGCCCTAACTTAATGATAAGCACTTGGGTTCTGCAGGATTGCCTGAATACATGTTTTGTTCTGTCTGCAACGATTCTGGAAAGGACAGACTTACTGCGGCATGCTCGTTTGGCTGAACTGTGCTTCCCTTGCAGGGCTGAGAAGGAATGGGGAGATGGCATCCGTGGCTTGTCCCTGAGTGCCGCCCGTTTTGCTTTGCTGCGCCTTGAAGAGGGGCCACCCCACACCAAAAATTGGAGGTAGGGAAGCCACAGGTTGCTTTCAGACTTTTGTTGCCTCAACATGAAGCAATGCTGCATAGAAAACACAAACTCAAATTCAGAATAGAGCTGGAAGGGACCTTGGAGGTCTTCCAGTGGAACCCCCTTGCTCAAGGAACAGACCCTATACCAGGCATGTCAAACTGGCATCCCGCGGGACGGATACATCACGCGCAGGCTATGCCCACCCTGGCTCCGCAAAGGCAAAAAACATCATGATATGTCACGATCTGGCTTGTCACTCGATCGAGTTTGAACTTGTGCCCTATACCATTTCAGCAAGTGGCTATACACAGTCTCTTCTTAAAAACCTCCAGTGTTGAAGCACCCACAACCTCTGAAGGCAAGCCATTTTGCTGGTTTATTGTCCTCACTGTTAGGAAGTTTCTCCTTAATTCCAGGTTGCTTCTCTCCTTGATTTGTTTCCATCCATGGCTTCTTGTCCTGCCTTCTGATGCTTTGGACAATAGATTGACTCCCTCTTCTCTGGGGCAGCCCCTGAAATACTGGAATAACTGCTATCATGTTACCCTAGTCCTTCTTTTCTCTAGACCAAACAAACTCATATCCTGCAACTGTTCATGTTTTTAGCCTCTAAGCCTTTAATCATCTTAGTTGCCTCCTCTCTGCATTTTTTTCCAAAGTCTCAACATCTTTTTTATGATGTGGTGACCAAAACTGGATGTAGCATTCCAAGTGTGGCCTTACTAAAGTTTTATAAAATGGAATACTTACACATGTGGATTTACTTGTATTATTTGTTGCAGTATAAATTCTTATGTCTTTGTGCTTTAGGGCAAAAGTCTAAATTCATCTGCTCCTACAACTCTTAACATGCGCGTGTTGGGCTTCCATTTCTTCCTAGGCCACAATTGTTGGTGTTGCTAAAGTTGGATGAGGATCTGCATGTGAAGCATCCACATCTGCTCACCTTTGCTTCTCAGCTGAAAGCTGGCAAAGGACTCACTATTGTAGGTTCAGTCATGGTGGGCAACTTCCTGGAGAGTTACAGTGAAGCACTGGCTGCTGAGCAGGTGAGATTTCATGGAAGTGCATTTCAGCTGAATGGGTGCCACCGATTTAGATAGGAGGCTACAAGAAGAGCAGCTATATCAGTATAAAGCAAAACTTTCAGATAATTAGAGACAAGAAAAGTAGGAGAATACCTGGTACTTCATCTTTCAGTTGGCTCAGTGATATGTCTTCTCCAGCTAACATGTGTTTTCCAAAAGTTCAGAAATTAAGTTACCTAAAATATTTTAACTGTACCTTTGTTAAGAGGGGTTTTCCAAGCTTGCATATATCATGAAACGTAAAATAGTACTTTGTGTTTGGTCAAGCTAACTTTTATGTGTTGGATGATGCCATCATAAGGTCAACATGCATTTCTTGGCTTCCCCTTGAAGCTGATGCTTTGTCTTATGATAGTGCCTGGCCCAAGCCCAAATATGAAAATGGAAGATTGCTTGTGTCAATCTCTGAGATATATTGATTCAGTTTATAGTATTAATAGCATCCATGGAGAGCATCTAATAGTCTACAGGTAATCCTTAACTTCCAACTTCAATTGAGCCCAAAATTTCTTCTGCTAAGCGAAACAGTTGTTCAGTGACCTTTGTCCCATTTTACAAGATTTGCTGCCGCAGCGGTTAAGTGAAACACTGCAGATGGCTAAGGTTGTTAAGTAAATGTGGATACCCCATTGACTTTGTTTCTCAGAAGATGCCAAAGGGAATCACATGAATCTGGGATGCTGTAACCATCATAAATGTAAATGTCATTGACGACGGGGATGCTGCGACAGTCATAAACGTGAAAAACAGTCATAACTCACTTTTACAGTGCTGCTGTAATTCTGAATGGCCACTAAACAAGCTGTTGTAAACCGAGGGCTACATGTATGTTACAAATTTTTGCTTTGTTCTTCAGAATGAAATCATCACATACTCCCATTTCCAGAAATGAGCTTCTTTTTGCTTTAAGGTCCCTCTGAAAACTCTTTTTTTTTTTTGAAATTTTTTATTGATTTTCAAAAACAATACACAAACAAAACATAAAAACATAAAACATCTTTTCTGAAAGCAGCTTGATCCCGGGTTACATCTCTTCGTAGACACAAATTCAAATTCATGCTCATTTTATATACCATTCCATATCCTATTGCCATTTTACATTTTCTACATAGCTTCTCCCCTCTTTTAACTTTCTTAATTTTATTTTATTTATCTCATCTCAGTTCAGATCATTATGCTTATTATTCTTTGTCTGTCCTGTTTCCACCTATATTTTCCCTTTAAACAAAATTTCTCCTGTATGCTGATTGGAGTATGACGCCTTTATCTCTTTCCCCTAAATTTATAACACTTAGTATAGTACATAACTTCCATTTGGATTCTGCTTAGTACATTCTAAAGTTACACACTATATTTTTTTAAAAAGAAAATATTATAAATATGTAATATAATTAGAACAACAATCCATACCAATTCAAATCTATCATTAATATTAATATTCATTTAAATTTTGAACATTTTACACATTACTTTTCAGTTAAATATCATACTTTTATGGGAACACATATAAACTTTCCATAGTTATTTCCCCACCCACTTCACTTATATTTTAAAACATTGTGTCATTAAAATGTTCCCATTCCTTCCTAATTCAATTCTCTCATTTATTTCATTGCCTTCCTTTTGTTCACAAAAATTTCACTGAATTACACAGAATATTTTATCCCACTTTTTAATCACATGTTGTTTCCAATTTTCTAACATTATTTCTAATACAAATATAACAATACAATATTATGTATCTTTGCAGAATCCCTTTTTCAATTAAGTTTTTACCCATTATCTCTAAATAAATCCTGTTTTTTTACATCTTGCTCCACACCATTGAAACTTCTCATCCCTTCCTTCCTCCCTTGCTTCTTCTCCCTGCCCTTTTTACCCCCTTGTCTCTCCACCCCCATTTCCCTCTTCTGTATTCCCCCTTTCTGTTGTTTTCTAACATATCCACTTTTCACCTTATTTTTCCCTTTTTTGGTTGTTTTTAGTTCTTAAAGTCTCCATTTTTTTCCCGTCCTTTCCCCTTTCTTCCCCAAGTAAAGTTACTTGTTCATCGAAGATGGCTTCTTCTTTGTCCCAATCATCTTGTTGCGCAGTCAGTTTCTCATAGGTACAAATCGCCATTTCTAAGAATTGAAAAAGAGAGCCAAGAGAGCCCTTCCCTTCGTGTTCCTCTTTTTTATATTTTTTGAATTCAATTTTCAGTTCATCCACAAGTGATGCCATTGTAGAAAAAAAAAATTTTTTTTTCCGAAACAACCACCCAAATGTTTTTAGTCCTTCAAATATAATTTCCAAAAGTCCCAAAGTCACCAAACAGTCCAAATAAGCTGTTTCTTTTAACACTTTCTTCTTTCTTCACTTTCTCTTCCTGGGGTTACTGTTTAGTTACAAAATTCCAGTTAAAATGTATCTTTTAGAAGTCTTGTTAGTATTTAATGATTCTTTTACGTTCTAGGCAATCTCCTCCTGCCTTCCAAATCCTGCTCCTATTCTTTTCCTCTCCCTTCCCACTTACAGCAAAAAAAATTTTTTTTAAATGTCCAGAAATCCTTATTATTCCCTTGACATTTAATTATCCAGTTTAGTTACCTATTGATGCCAAAGCAGGTTTTTCCAATTTCTCATTCATTTCTGTTCGCTGTCAACGTTAGGAAGGAGAGTGAAAAAAAAACCCTTTCCCTTTTAACTTTCATTTGCCACTTGCAAGTCTTTGGGAACGATGTATCTTTTGCAAATTTTAAGTTCCAGGGTACCTTAGTTTTATTTTTTGTCCTGGTCAGCCAAAAACTTTTACTTCTTAGCTTCCTCCTGCACTTTCTTTTCTGGCTGAGTGCTTCTGTGAGGCGGCCATTTCTGACCGCCGCTCTACCGCCTTCGGAAAAGGGAGTTTAGCTGGCTGGGGAGGAGAGGTGCGATTCCTCTCGACCCTGCCAGATCTCCCCTATCTTCACCACCTTCTACGGGGTGGCTTAGCCCCGAAGCCGGGTGGCTCGGGGCACTCCAGCGGCGAGCGCAGGCAGAAACCGCGCACGATCGCGGATTCCTGCCTGCCCCGAAGCGCCGCAAACCGGAACTCCCCTCTGAAAACTTTCTAAGGAATGATCCAATCCAGGCATTATGTTCAAGTCTGAAGGACCATCTTTAGATGTAAATCCTCATAGCTCTACATTGCAATATAGGTAGTCCTCGACTTTATGACAATTGAGCCCAACATTTATGTTGCTAAGTGAGAAATGTATTATGTGAGTTATGCCCCGTTTTACGACTTCTTTCCACATTTGTTAAGTGAATCACTTCAGTTGTTAAATCAGTAAACCGGTCGTTCAGTGAATCTGGTTTCCCCTATTGATTTTGCTTGTCAGAAGGTTGTAAAAGGGGATCACATGGCCCCAGAACACTGCAACCATCATAATGTGGATAAGTTGTCAAGCATCTAAATGCAAATCACATGGCCATGGGGATGCTGCAATGATCGTAAGTCTGGAAAAATGGTCATAGGTCATGTTATTCAGTGCCGTTGTAACTTTGAACGGTCACCAAGCAAACTGTTGTAAGTCGAGGACTACCTGTAAAGATTCCTCTGTTTGCAATGCCGAGTGGCTTTTTTACAGCTTTGCCTTTAAACAACGTTATGTGATTTCAGACTATCAAACATCTGATGGAGGCAGAACGCGTGAAAGGCTTCTGTCAGATCGTGGTGGCTGCCAAGGTGCGAGAGGGCATCTCCCACCTCATTCAGTCCTGCGGGCTTGGTGGCATGAAGCACAACACTGTGGTGATGGGCTGGCCGAATGCCTGGCGTCAGAGTGAGGATGCACGTGCTTGGAAGACTTTTATTGGTAACGGTTTCCCAACAAGACATTTTGGGGGAGAGGGAGGCGAGAGGTCACAAGAGTCTACTGAACCATATGGCATGAGTTCCTCTTCCTGTTCTCCAGGCACTGTCCGGGTGACTACAGCTGCCCGCCTGGCCTTACTCGTGGCAAAGAACGTGGCTTTTTACCCTAGCAACGCAGAGCCTTTTTCCGAGGGCAACATTGATGTCTGGTGGATTGTGCACGATGGAGGGATGTTGATGCTCCTCCCTTTCCTTCTCAAGCAGCACAAGGTAATGATGGGAGGGCCTTGCTGAGACTTAAGGAGCAGGTGTTAATTGGCTTGGGTGGAGTTTACTGATTTCCCTCCTCCCTTCCTTCAAAGGTGTGGCGTAAGTGCAAAATCCGCATCTTTACAGTAGCCCAACTGGAGGACAACAGCATACAAATGAAGAAGGATCTGGCCACCTTCCTGTATCACCTTCGTATCGAGGCAGAGGTGGAAGTGGTTGAGATGGTGAGTGACACAATACTGTGGGGATTAAAAACATATAAAACAATAGCCCTTGGACATATATACTGCTTTACAGCCGTCTCTAAGTGGTTTACAGTCAGCATATTGCCCCCAACAATTGGGGTTCTTATTTTACCCACCTCAGAAGGATGGAAGGCTGAGTCAACCTTGAGCTGGTGAGACTCGAACTGCCGAAACTGACAGTCAACAGTCAGCTGAATTAGCCTGCAGTACTACATTCTAACCTCTGCGCCACCATGGCTCTATCTAATGGACAGATAGATATATTGGGGAAAGAAGATATTAGAAACATCACTAATGCATAGAAATCTATCCAATGAAGGAAAAGGGATTAGAAGTATAGAGCTAGTCCTTGACTTACAACCACAGTTGAGCCCAAATTTCTGTTGTTACATGAGACATTGGTTAAGGGACATTTGCCCCATTTTACGACCTTTCTTGCCACTGTTAAGTGAATCACTACAGTTAAGTTAGTAAAACGGTTGTTAAATGAATCTCACTTCCCCACTGAAGGTTGCAAAATGGAATCATGTGACCCCGGGACACTGCAACTGTCATCACTTTGAATGGTCACTAAATGAATTGTTGTAAGTCAAGGACTACCTATATCTAATGGACAGGGACGTATTTAATTGGAAAAAAGGGGTTAGAGACACATCTAATGGAGAGAAACATATCCAATGAAGAAAAAGGGATTAGAAATATATCTAATGGACAGAGACTATTTAATGGGGCAAAAGGGATTAGAGACATATCTGATGGACGCCACACTCATACTCATTCCTATCCTTTTAGAATTGCTCACTACCTGCTCCCAAGTCAAAGATTAACTTCTTTCACTACAGGGACGAGGATCAAAAACACATATTTAAAAAAAATATGTTCCTTTTCAAGGAAAGAGTTATAGGCTGGCTACTCCTATTTTTCACAGAATGCCTATAGACATGCATATTCCTAGAGAAGTCCTCTGTGCAGAAGTGCCATTGGTTGAAATCTGGCAAACATTATGAGGAATGGAAGAATGTTGGACCTATGTCAGGTTGGGAGGGTTGTCCAATATCAGCTGTCACATGATCGAAATTCAGGCACTTGGCAACTGGGATGTATTTATGATGGTCGCAGCATCCTGGGGTCCTGGGATCGCCTTCTGTAACCTTTCCATCTGGCTTCTGACAAGGTTGGTTTGGGAGGATTGTCCAATATCAGTTGTCCTCTTTTCTCTCTTGCAGCATGACAGCGACATCTCTGCCTACACATATGAGCGTACTTTGATGATGGAGCAGCGCTCCCAGATGTTGCGCCAAATGCGTCTCTCTAAAACGGAACGAGAACGTGAGGTGAACTGGGCTGAAACAAAGGTGGGAGAAAATAGGCTGAAAAAGAGAAACCAATTTGGGTTTCTTTTTCACTAAAGCTTCAGTGATGCCATCCTTGTATATAGGCCCAGCTTGTGAAAGACAGGAACTCAATGTTGCGGCTGACCAGCATTGGCTCAGATGATGATGAAGAGACTGAGACCTACCAGGAGAAGGTGCACATGACCTGGACCAAGGACAAATACATGGCTTCTCATGGACACAAACTCAGGACCCTGGAGGGCTTCCAAGACCTGCTCAACATGCGACCGTAAGACATTAACTGAGTTATTTCTGATATATACTTCTATTGTCATTAAACTCTTCCTTCTTGCCTAAGATGCTGAGCTTGTCGATCAGAAAGGTTGGCAGTTTGGCGGTTCGAATCCCTAGCGCCATGTAATGGAGTGAGTTCCCGTTACTTGTCTCTGTTTCTGCCAATCTAGCAGTTCGAAAGCATGTAAAAATGCAAGTAGAAAAATAGGTGCCACATTGGTAGGAAGGTAACAGTGTTCCTTGCACCTTCGGCATTTAGTCATGCTGGCCACATGACCATGGAGACATCTTTGGACAGCACTGTCTTTGTAACAGAGATGAGCACTGCCCCCTACAGCTGAAAACAACTAGCACATATGTGCGAGGGGAACCTTTACCATATTTGCCTACTATTTGTGGTGGCGCAGTAGTTAGAATGCAGTATTGCAGGCTAATTCTGGTGACAACTGCCAGCATTTCGGCAGTTCAATTCACAACGGCTCAAGATTGACTCAGTCTTCCATTTTTCTGAGGTCAGCAAAATGGGGACCCAAATTGTTGTTATGGGCAATATGCTGACTCTGTAAAACTGTTTAGAGAGGGCTGTAAAGCACTTTGAAGCGGTATATAAGTCCAAGTGTTGCTATTGCTATTCTGCTTCCAAATTCTTCTTGGAAAGTGATACAAAGCCTAACTTAATCTTACCACTATCCTGTCTGGGTTTTATTCTAAATGTGTTTTTTTCCACTACATATCCCATTGTTTCTAATATGTAATGCTCTCTATCTCCAGCATATGCTACCGGTAGAGTTCTTTATTTTTTTTGTATGGTGTTAGTGCATAACAGCATAAAATTCACAAAAACGGCATATAAAATGTGTATCAAAATATAAAATACTAGTACAGTGAATTATTTTAGAAACCCACAGTATGAATGATAAATAAAATAAAGTTATAAGCAATTACTAGAGTGACTAAGCCTATGACCAGATATCTAGATAGTTTAGCCACTGGACAGCAGTGCCCTTCAGAAGAGGTAGTTCTTGTAGGGATCTGGGTCACCTTTTGAGGGGGCATTCTGTTGCAGGATGATGTAAAGTTTGCAGGACATTCCTTGAGTCACAGTATTATCAACCTATCCCCATTTGAATTTCCAATATTGGCACCTGCCATTTGGTTGAGTCTTGTCCAGTTTTTCTTTGGAATATCAAAGCCAGAGGGACACTAAATTAAACAGATCTGGGTTAGAAGTTGCCCACTAGAAAATGTTGCGAGTACTTTTAGTTTGCTTTACTGCAATTGCCATGTTATTCCCTGTTCTTTTGGGAAAGAATCTGTGCCTCTGGGTTTTTTTTCAGTCTCTAATCCATAAAAAATACTTTATTTTCTCACAAGCCAGTCTTAGGCTACGGATTAGATATATCAGTAAAGCGTGCTGTATGGTTATATTTGTATGGGTCCTGGTTATGCTAATACTTTTTTCCCCCCACCTCCAACATAGGGATCAGTCTAATGTGCGACGTATGCACACGGCTGTCAAGCTGAATGAAGTTATTGTCAACAAGTCCCATGAGGCTAAGCTTGTCCTGCTTAATATGCCTGGGCCACCACGAAACCCTGAAGGCGACGAAAACTGTATCCTTTTCTGCCGGGCACAGGAAGGAGTGGTGGTGGCTCTAAAGAATCGTATTGCGTTGTTCCTTTGACTCTTTTCCACCTGCAGATATGGAATTCCTGGAGGTCCTCACAGAGGGGCTGGAGCGTGTGCTGCTTGTACGGGGCGGAGGCAGCGAAGTCATCACCATCTATTCATAGAGGAGGAGTTGGGGAGTCTTCCTCCTGATGAACTGTGTTCAAATTGATACTCTCTTCCTACCTGTTCCCATGTGCCACTTGGATCTCCCGAGACCAGCTTTTACCGCCACACCTATTTGCTTTCATTTCTCGTGGCAATTCAGGGCCTTCAAATTGGGTGTTTTCCCCACCCCCACCCCTCCAGTGTTTGGAGGATGGCAGCTTCTTCAGCTTCCATCAAGTTAAAGCTGCACACTAGAATCTTCAAAAAGCTTGTCGGTGAGAGGGAAATTTAGAGATAGGTAGGAGATTGCTGTCATCCTTTCAAGAAATGTAGGAGCCATATCGCGAGTAGTAACTCTGCAGGGCATTAATAAGAAGAGCAAAAGATCAGGAAAAGAGTGACAGGATCCATCAGCTGGAACAGCAGGTTTGGCCCAGCTGGAGAAGCTGTTACTTGTCATTATCATGTTAAGAGGAACAAGAAGGGAAAGTAGATACTGCTGAGGGAAATCCATCCTTTGTTGTGCTGTTTTCTCCTGGTCAGCATCAGTCTCCTTGCTTTCCTTCCCACTGAAATGAAGGCCAACAATAAGCATTTAGAAGTCACTTTTCATAGTGCTTATCCCTGATCCCATGTAGTATTCTGAGAATCAGACAGTGTTTGCTGACAAGGGGAGAGAATGGCTGATCCCCAAGTTAGGGTGGGAGCAGCATATTAATGGGGAAACTTCTTTTCCATCTGGCCTTTGCACTTCTACTGAGTCAAGGAAACTAGCAGCTGCCTTCTCTTTTTATAGATAATCTGTAAAACTGCGCCAGGTGGCTGTCATACTTTGTTCTTACATATCGATGGGGTAAAGATTTCTATTGTGAAGAACAGGGTTTTCTGATTTTCCAAATTGCCCCCTTTGCTTTTGAAGAAGTCCATCTCTTCTTCCAAGCTTGGATAAGAAGAAAATTAATGCCACATCTTCTGTGCCAAGCAATATTGCCCTCTTTGATGTCAGTGATAAAGATATCCAGCTTACTTTTATAAGTGTTGGGGTGGAGTTTTTCCTTACCTCTACAGAAGCAAACTTAGAGAAAGGTGCTGTGTCTATTTTGTCCTATCTAATTTCAATGATGGATCTCTCCTTCTCTTGGTATCTCTTGCTCAAGAATAGAATACAGGGACCACTCCCTTGGCTTAGCCTTAAGACACATCTCAAGCCTGTCGTTTTATTTTTAAGAGAGAATTTCACGGCATCTCTTATTTTAGCTGAGAGCTTTTTTTAATTTATTCAGGGTGCAACCTTGTTTACATCGCATCAAATTTGGGAGTGTTTTTTTTTTTTTTTGCTTCTTGAATTATGTAAAGAATAAACATTTTATATGCAATTTTTTATTTTAGTTGTGCATAAGTGGCTCCACTTGCAAAGCTCATGTATTCATTATGTAACATTCATCCACTTTACAGCCTTGGTATCATTTATAAAAAGCAGTAAATAAATGGCATATGCTTAGATTTTCCACATTTTGAAAAGAAAATCTTCATCCAGTGCTCTAGTTCATAGAAACATGACTGTGAGACTAATGTGAACAGGCTATTGTATATCACCCCACCCCCCAGTAAATTTGTATCAGTGGCTTAAGAATTAGGGTAACGTACATGAATTTTGGAGTCGTTTTTTGTTCTCCGTTGTAAAGGTTAAAAGAGTCCCTGTGGATTTTCATTGGCTGGCTCTAGTGGGCAGAGCTCATCTCCATTTCAAGGTCAAGGCCAGTGCTGTCCAAAGACATTTTCAGTCATGTGACATCACAAATGGCTGTTATCATCCCACAGAAGTGGTACCTATTTATTTACCCACACATGCATGCTTTCAAGCTGCTAGGTTGGCAGGAGCTGGGTAGAGGATGGGAGCTCACCCCGTCACTTGGGTCTTGAACTGGACTTCTGGTTTTCCAGCCGACAAGCCCAATGTCTTAATTGTTGAGCTACCGCGCTGCCCCATTGTTCCCTATGAAGCTTTCAACATTTTTCATTGATGTTCATACATAATTGACAAACAATTAGAATCCTATAAAATGTTCCAACTTTATCTTTCCCACAGGAGATCATCCAGCACATGCCTGTATACTTTTCAGTTGGCTTTAGGATAATGAAATCCAAATTTATCAAGAATTACAATTACCTATGAATTAACCTTCAAGTCAGAGCATGTATGCATTTACCCTAAAACACTTAGCTTTGACATTAGATGCTACAGATGCCTTCCTGAGTCACCTCTTTCTGCATAATTTTTAAATGAGAAGTTGAAGTGCTCAGTATATAACCCAGGTCATCATCTTGCAATGCTGTGTACTTCTAGCATTATGTCCATATTATAGAAAAATGGATTGTCTGATGGTAGAACTTAAGTGAAGCACTATACACCTTTAAAAGTTAAAAATTTTATTTTGCTTTTAACCAAGGGAAAATAAACCAGTGCGGGTCTTTTGCTTCAACTCCTCCAAAGCACATCGGTCCTTCCTACTCTGGATAACATTTTGTAAATGCTTCCTAGTGTTCCACAATGTAGTAACATGCACTTAAAATCCATGTTTTGGAGTCAACAGAAGGAAGAATAATTCACAACACCAAGGCAGACACCTAGAGTAGCAGATGATTTCTGGAAAGGGTTAGGTCATAAGATTAGACCCCCACCTGTGTATTCCATACGCTAGGAAGAAGACAGAAAATAAATATGAGTCACAAGCCACAAGTCAGCATTTTGAAATTTAAACAGGACAAACAGAAGCAAGAGATTGTTAAAAACTCTTGGATTAGATCTGGGTTCTTGTAAATCATCTAATACTGACCTTTTGTGAAATTAAAGAGTGCAAAAAGAATCTTGGCAGCTTTGATCCAAGAAATTTGTCCTGCAGGCCACCTTTCCCACCCCTCAGCAGTATATACAGGCTAGACAGGAAATGATCCAAAGGAGGAGTGGGAGAATTCATACTCTTCACGCTTACCTCAGGTGGTTCAATAAAAGCCAGCCAGTCAGAAGCATGAGTTGGCAGTAGTCCCATTGACTGACACTTATAAACAGCCAAGGCCAATCCTAACAGGTTGCCAATTAAATATACCAGTCCCTGAAGAAACTTCTGACTTGAGCTTTCAAGTAGCTTGAATGCTGTGGGAACAATTTAAAAAAAAGGGTAAGGTACCCCTATGGAATATCAAACACTACACAGCACACTGGCAGTACTGGATAGAAGAGCCTGTTTGGGGATGTGACTGCCAATTGAATAATCTTTCCTAGAATAACCTAGGTTAAGCAAGAGATTTGGGAGCCTTATTAAAATACTAATATAAGTTAGCTATAATTTATCAAGGAGTAGGAAATACAAAGTCAATCTTATGAGTTTTTACCATTGGGAATTAAGCTGCTTTACAAACACTTTGTCCTAAAAGCAACCCTGAAGCCAAGAACAAATCTGGATATGGCTCTTAATCAGAGGATCTCTCCGCACCTAACAATCCTCTTTTTCTTATAAGCTTCTGGAATAGATGTCCCATATCCAGCTAGCAAATATTCCTCCTTCACATTACTGTTCCTGGACTGCCTTGGTTTATAGCATAACCTATAGTACAACATTTATTTATACCATATATAAACTGCCCACTCAACAGTTCCTGTATTCCCAGTTTTTAAAAAGGTACTATTTTTGAAATTGTTCAAACTGCACTTTGGAACACAACCAAGACTATTATTTTTTCCACTAGTTGGAATAACAGCTCCACAAAGTAGAAAATGGAGGAAAAGTGGGATAAAAGAAGGGTTTGGGTGGTGAAACAAAGAGACTTACTAGCAGAGATGGACATTAGTGCTTGGATGGGCCTCCAGGCCATCATACAGACCATCATGGTAGGGAAGATAGAGATTGTATTCCCTGCCATGTACATGATGAATAGGTTCATAGGAATTTGCTTCAAGGGACCGAGAGCAATATCCCAGCAGCGCTAAAACATTTAAGGAGGAAAAAAATAAGATAGAATTCAATAAGTCTATAAAGTCTAGTTCTACATTTCGAACAGCTATAGCATTTCTAATACCCAGTTCCTCCTATCCAAGACATTACCTTTTCAACCAGAATGCGATCTGTCTCCTGAACACTTGTGTCAGGCACCTGCTTATCTGAATAGCCTATGGGGTAGAGAGTGTCTCCTTGGCTGCTGCCACGGTCACTTCGGCCTCTGGCAAAGAAAAGAAACTCCTTATCCAAATGCACATCCCCAACATTTGTGGATTACTTATGTGGTCTTTTCCTGGGTACTTACCTACCACCACTGCCTGGACTGCTCAATTCAATGGCCCATTTGAAACGTCTTCCACGATTGGTCACCAATCCTCCTCCAGTGCTCATGGTTGCCTGTAAAAAGAGGTAAGGCACACTCCAAATAAGATTAAATATTAATTAAATTAAATATTAAGGAAGTGAGCAGGCAGACCCTTTTGACCACATGTCCCACAATCCTGAAGAAATTGCAAGCTTCCTCTTGCATCATTGCCCCCATATACATTCAACATCTCTATAGTCAGAAAGCTAACATTGCAGTGGAACCTGGGAACCAAACCTAGGAAGCTCTTGGTTTCATGATCATCACAGATCATCCAAGCAGCTGACAATTCAAATAAACTCTTGTGCATAGCAGTGCCACCAATATTTTCTCTAAACCCACAAGTAATCACCCTCCCCAGAATAAGAAGAGTTGGACCCTGGAGGTCTTCTAGTCCAACCCCTACTCAGGCAGGAAACCCTACACTGGTTCAGGCGAATGGTTGTCCAACATCTTCCTAAAAATGTCCAGTGTTGGAGCACTCATAACCAGTAGTGGTATTTAAATAAAGTTGCCACTGGTTCGGTGGGTATGGCTTGGTGGACATGCTTTGCATGCGTGAGCACACTTTGCGTGCACATGCATGCCAAATGCGCATTTTGTGCAGGCGCAGAGGCATTTGTGCAGATGCAGAGGCGTTGTAACTCACCTCCTGCAAGCCTACACGATGCTGGTTGCTGCAGCAGCTGCTGCGCTATTTTACACTGCACAAAGCAGCTGCACTTCAAATTCTGGCCATAAAAGTGAGTATGGGAGCCCGGGCGGGCAGGTGGGCCAAACACAGAGCAGTAGAGAGAACCGGTTCGGTCTCTGTTGCTCATCGTCGCTACTGGCTCTCCAGAACCGGGCAGAACCAGTCGAATACCACCACTGCCCATAACTTCTGGAGGCAAACCATTCTACACCCATCCCACCAAAAAAAGAGCAGATTTAAAAAACCCTTTATTACACTCCTGTAGTCCCTGTAACTGTAATCCATAGTCATAAAACCTTTCCCCCCAACCTCTAGCTATATGAGTCTCCAGGACTACGGGATCCCTAATCATTATTACTATTTGTCCTGGCTGGGAAGTCTGGGAGCTGGATGTCTCTTGAGATTCTCAGTCATCCAGATCATGGTTGTCCCAAAGATGCTTTTTTTTTTCCCAAGAGGCAACTGGACTTTCTTGTTTTTTCTTTAAAGACATTTTGCTTCTCATCCAAGAAGCTTCTTCAGCTCTGACTGGATGGTGGGGCATGGAGGGATTTATACTCCTTGCAGACAGATGGTCATTTGCATTCTGTTTTTTTAATGATTTTTTTAAATGAAAAGCTGCCTGCAAAGGAGTATAAATCCTTCTATTCTTCACCATCCAGTCAGAGCTGAAGAAGCTTCTTGGATGAGAAGCGAAACGTCTTCAAAGAAAATCCAGGAAGTCCAGTTGCACCTTTGAGATTCTGAGAGATGTAGTCCCTGAAAGGTGCCAAGCGGAGGAAGGCTGTGGAGAGAGGTGGCAACTTCAGCCTTTTTGGGAGGCGTGATTAAGTCAGGAGGGAAAATTTTCTCCCCTCACTTCTAAGTCACAACAAAACCCCAACCCTAAAGCAGGGCCGTGAAGCCTGGGAATTGTAGTCATTCCCCCTCCCAGCCCCCGAAAAAGAGCCCTGGTCTACACTCACGGTTCGAAACGCTTCAGCAGCTGCCGTCCCGTCACTCGTCACTTCCTGTTTGGCTCAGGGCCACGCGGTCCACCTTTGATGACGTCACAAAGACGCTGCGTTTTTCCTATGGATAAAAATAGTCCAGGCCGTTACTGAATTCTGATGGCCGCTTCTTCGGGGCTGAAACCTGTTCTCCTCCAACTTCTCCCGTTGAAAGAGTTTCGTCAGGGAGAGAGAGAGAGAGAGAGAGAGAGAGAGAGAGAGAGAGAGAGAGAGAACGGTTACCTTCTCTCAGTTCATTTCCGGCTGAGCTCTGCGGACTCTCCCGGAAGATCACTCTATGCCTTTCGTCTTGTCTCTCTTTCTCTCTGTTTGATTCGGAGACTTCCTGCGCATGCGCCCGGATTCGTGTAAAACCATGAGAGTCTTAATCGGTGAGTGGTGGTCGCTTCCGCTTTCAGAGCCAACAGTCGCCCCTTTGCAATGGGAGGAAGGGCTGTTTTCTTTGCTGCGGGGCTGCTCTAATTTTTTTTCTTATCCCCCCCCCCCCTTTTGACAATTGCAATTTGCAGTTCTTGGCTAGATTAGCGCCACCTTGAACTGCGGTCAACATAAGGGATGCGTGCAAAGGGTGAACGTGAGATTCCTCTTTGAGGAACCGGGAAAGGGTCCCATCCGAGGAGCTGAAGGATTTAGTGTCTCCTTCACTGTGCTCAGGTCATTGGATGAGGACTTGGGGAAGTTCAGGTCGACCTTCGTTCAGTTTGGGATAGGTGCTCTCCCCTGTCTCCCTCTCTCTTTCTCAACCTGTTACCTTACTAAGGATGCTGCCTTCAAGAAAGAGAAAAGAGGGTTCTTATTTTTTTTCCTTTGCAGAAGAAAGACAGGAGTACTCCCATCAATAATGCTCTTTTCTTTTAATTTTGTGCCTTCCAATCAGTGTTGACTGCTGGCAACCACCTGGGTGAATCTCTGCAGCTTTCTTAGCAGGGTTTTTTTGGGGGGTGGGGAGGTAGTCACCTCAAATCCCCCCTTTTGCTTTTTCCTAGAGCTGTGAGAAAGTGATTAGTCCAAGGTCACTCAGCTGGCTTTGTGCCTAAAGCAGATTTCTGATGTCCTGGTTTTTAACCTGATGCCTTAAAACCAACAACGCCAAATTGGCTCCTCAGTAATGCATTGCCTGACTTTTCCCTTCCTTCCTCTTGAGAATTCAAAGCTGTTAAAAATTCTCATTTTCTGCTTTTGTCTCTTAGGCAGGAAACTCCCTACCTCTCTCCAACTGGCCAGTCCATTAAACAGAATCATACTGGCTGAGGCATGTGCAGGTGTGATAAAGAAACCCATGACTAGCTCTGTGACTTCAGATGTTATTGATAGTTGGTCTCAATCACCCAGTCGTTTTAATCTTAGGAGTTTTTTTTTCCAAAAGGCAACTGAACTTACTTGATTTTTTTTCAAGATGTTACACTTCTTATCTGAGACACTTTTTCAGTTCTAACTAACTCTGGCCAATGGAAAGGAATTGTATAAATCTTTTCCATTCCTCACCAGTTATATCTGAAGAAGCTTCCTGGATGAGAAGTGAAACATCTTTAAGAAAAGTCAAAGTCTGGTTTTTCTTTTGAAAGCAACTTTGGGAAAATCTTAGGAAAAGCTTCTTTCAGGGAAAAAAAAAACCTATGTAGATTTATATCGACCAAAGAGTTGGCGGGGACTAAAATATGGCCTTTTTTTTTTTGCAATGATCTCTGCTCTATGGAATATTCCCCTCCCCTTCCCCCCCAGATTAGAATGGTCCCAGGCCTGTTAGTCTTTTCATAAGTCCCTAAAATCCTGGATATGTTCCTGAGCCTAAGCTATTGAATGTATTAAGGGCCCCCTTTCCTGGCTGCATTTCTAGTTGGCCAAATATCTCAGATGCTATGTATATTTATTTTGATGTTTCTATTGTTTTTTTATTGCTTTATTTAAAATCATTTTTATTTTTTTAAAATTAAAATATGTATTACAATTAAATGTTTTAATTGTAACATTTTTTTTTTAATTGTAAGCTGCCCAGAGCCATTGACTGAGACAGTTGGCTGTAGAAATTGAATCAATAAGAAACCTTTTCCCCCATCTGAACATTTCATTTACTTTTCTTGTAGATTACCCAAACAATATCCTCCGAACTTTTTGTTTGCTTTGATGGGTTCTTAAGGAAGAGAGTCACTTGCCATGAGGAAAGGAAGCTATTTGTGTTTATTAAATGGAACATTCAGATTTTAGGAAAGAGACAATCTCTTTGAGAACTCTAACGATGAGCATCAGAAGCTTTAATGAACTAAAGTTAAGCTAAACTTAAGCCTATTTGGTCTAGTGGTGAAAGGCATCTGGCTAGAAACCAGGAGATTGTGAGTTCTAGTCCCACTTTAAGTGTGGAAGCCAGTTGGGTGACTTTGGTCCAGTCCCTCACTCTCAATCCAATCCACCTCAAAGGGGTTGTTACTGTGGAGAAAATTGGGGGAGGAAAGAACATGAGTTATTTATAAAAATGAAGAAAACCCTAAATAAATAAATTTACTGTGGTCACATTGATTCGAGGAAGGGGAGCTTGGAAGGTTAGATTGAAATTTTCAATATTAGCCAAAGAAACCTGAATGGTGCACCTTTTTCCAGACAACTAATCTTATAGGAGGGAGTTGTGAAAGTAAATTGAAAGAGTTCCCAAGTAAGCCAAAAACTAGCTCCTCGAGAAAAAGTAGGATATGAGTTTAACAAATAAATAATTTCTCAACAGGATTGTGGTTGTTTTAACTATCTCATTCATTATTCCATCATCGACTTCTGAATGTAATTTAGGTGGCGGGACTGGATTTATTGGCCGAAACTTAAGCCGAGTGCTAAGGAGCCAAGGCCATGAAGTCACCCTTATTTCTCGTCAGCCTGGAAAGAACCGGTTAACCTGGGTAAGGAACAGGGGTTTCAATCAAGCTAAAATTTAGAAGAATATGTTTAAATCCATTCCAGATTAGACAGTCCCAGTTAATTTCTTAAGTGACAATGGAAGAAAAGTTTATATAGATCTGTGATGGCAAACCTATGCCTCACGTGCCGGAAATGGCATGCAGAGCCATCTCTCCAGGCATGCTAGCTGTTGCCCATTTCTCTTCTGGGTTCCGGCGTGCATATGTGCGCTGACTAGCTGATCTTTGCATATGCGGGAGCACCAGAAACTGAAAAAGCAGCTCAGCGGTGTGCATGCACATGGTGGCCAGCTGGTCTTTACGCACACATGTGCATTAGAAATTGGAAGACCAGGTGGCCGGCACGCATACATGCGCCAGGAAGCTAAGCTAAGCTGGTTTCCAGCTCTCTCACGCGCATGTGTCGGGGAGCTGCTATTCCGGTTTCCGGCGCACATGCACATGCTCCTGTCTCAATACTCGGTGCTAAAAAGGTTTGCTAGCACTGGTGTAGATGAAGAGATGGGAGACAAAGTTACAGAAAAACCTGAAGAATCTATAGGGCAGATAGATGAATTAAGGCCAAAGTGAACATTTTAGAAAGCAAAACAGAAATAATGAACAAAGAGATGGAGAAGGACTTAAACCAGGCCTGTCAAACTCCCGACCCGCAGGCCAGATGCATCACGTGCTGGGCACATCCATGCCCAGTTTAGCGAAGGGGGAAAAAGTCACATCACATGATGCAGCCATGACGACGTGATACGTCAAGTTTGACATCCCTGACTTAGACAATCTGGCATTTCTGGAATGGAGACAAAATACATTTGAGATTTAGAGCAGTTCCCGAGAAGACCCCAGAGAAAAGATTCTTCAAGCTTTAATGAACTTTTTTGAATGGGATGAAGATGTGATAGGGAGGCAGAAATCGACAAAGTGTATAGAATCAACAGACCATTGGCAAAATGAAAAAAATGTACCAAGGCATATTCTTGGGTAGTCTGTCAGGAGGACTAGAGACCTGCCATTTCTTTGCTTGCTGACAAAAGGTTCTCCCACTGAACACTAAAATGTGGTGACAAAGCAGGTGACAGTTTGTTTGGATGCTCATTTGCTGTTGATGGGGACAGCAAAGTTAATGGTAGGGAATGCATGAGCCATTTGTAATTGAAATATATACAGATAGTCTTGATGTACAACAGTTTGTTTAGTGATAGTTTAAAGTTACAACAGCGCTGTAAAAAGTGACTTATGACCATTTTTCACATTTAGGACCGTTGGACATCCCAGTGATCATGCGATCAAAATTAGATGTTGACAACTGACTCATATTTATGACCTGTTGCTGGGTCCCGGAGATATGTGATCCCCTTTTGCAACCTTCTGACAAGCAAAGCCAATGGGGAAGCCAGATTTACTGAACAACTGTGTTACTATCTTAACAGCTGCAGTGGTTCCCTTAACAACTGTGGCAAGGAAGGTCATAAAATGGGGTCAAAGTCACTTAATAGCTGCTTTACTTAGAAATATTGCTCTCAATTTGTGGTCATATATTGAGGACTACTTGTAATTAATAGTTATAACCTCTAAAATATTGTAGGACCAGAATTGATTTAGTCTATGGAAGATGGAAATCAGAAGAACACTTAAGAATAGCTTTTCAATGTAATAAATATTAAAAGGTTTAAGCTTTTATAGTGCAGTTCACTTCACTCGATGCAGTGGAGTGACTACATTGGTGTAGAATTTAAATTGAGGTGCAGGAGAAAAGGAAAGACAGAAATCAAGGTGGTTATGTAGATCACATGTAAAATAGACTACTGATTGCCTTTATCAATTAACATTTGTCAACCAGTTGAGAGTTTTTAAAAATAATAAGAGATTATTGCTGTCACCTGAAAATCAACTTAATATAACAATAAAAACTATGTTTTGGACATCTCAGGTAACGTTTTCTGTCTAGCTTCTTTCTGGATCTGTTTTGTGTAATTGGGATAAGCTAGAAAACTGTAGTCTTATCAACCATGGAGAGTTGGCTAACATACAACCCTAGAAAAAGAAATTACGTCTCATTGGTTGCAAATGTTTGTTGATATGTGTAATAGTATGTGAGGACATTGAGGGATTGGAAGATATATTGCCTAGAAAAGGATTGGATAGGAAAGGCAGAAGCTACAGTACTTAGGAAGGACCCATCTTAATGGATCAAATGGTTAAAAGTATCGGCTAGAGATTTGTATTTTCAGACTTGCAAGGTTCTATTAATAAACTCCCTTTTTACGACTTTGTAATCTCTTAATTCAGGGGTAGAGTCGGGTGACTGGATGGAGCTAAGCATTTGTTCGTAGCAGATATTTTTTTCACTGCCTGGGCTTGAACTCTCAACCTTCTGAGTGGAAGGCAAACACTTTCATCACTAGGCTACCACCCCATTCATTTGCAAGATTCTATTAGCGTAGCCTGATAATAAAGTATAATTAGCTCATGTAATAGTGTTTTCTGTCTGGTTTATCTCAAAATGCATCTGTTTGTCAGATTTAAATTACTGTATTTTTCTCACTATAAGATGCACTCCCACCCCCACCCCCCCAAAAAAAGTAGGTGGAAATGTCTGCATCTTATAGAGTGAATGTTGCTGGAGCCCTGTCCACTGACCAGCCCCCACCCTTCCACCATTTTTGGCCTCCCTGCAGTCCATTTTTGGCCTCCAAATGGCCCGTTTTGGCCCATTCCAAGCGGCATGGACTGCCCTTGCCTATCGCCATGATAGGCAATGGCATTGATTGATGGCAATCAGCAGCAGTGATGGTGATGGCAGAGATCCCTGCTGCTTGAAATGGGCCGAAAACAGCCATCCGGAGGCTGAAAATGGAACACACAGAGGCGATGATGGGCACATTGATCCCCACCACCTGAAACAGCTGGTTGGCGGTATTCTGGGAGGCAGATCCAACTGCCAATCAGCTGCTTGTGCTCAATCAGGTTGTGATAATGTGCTGAAGTTGACCAGGCTGTTTGCTGTTTGCTGCAAGGATGCTAGCCAGATGAATACTGATGGATGCTGGGAGGCAGAGGCAGATTTTTTTTCTTGTTTTCCTTCCCAAAAGCTAGGTGCAACTTAAATTCCAGAGCGTCTTACAGTGCAAAAAATATGGTAAGTTTAGAGGTTTGGGTTTTTTTTGCAAAGGAGTAAAGATGGAAGACTTTTGTCATATTTGGAAAGTTGTTCTGTTTATAATATTTTTCTAGGGTTTTTTCTTTTTACTTCATTCCCTTAAAAGCAACACAATTGGCTTGATGTTTCCTTGCGTTGCTAATACTGCTGCATATGCCGCAGCCTTTTCTTCTGTTAGTTACGGTGACATTGTAAAATGTGTTTGAAGAGAAAAAAAACAACAACATGACAAACCCTGAGTTTCTGTTTTGATTTCTAGGATGAACTCTCCCGTGTAGGCCTCCCATCCTGTGAAGGAGTGGTCAACCTGGCTGGAGTAAATGTCCTCAATCCTTTTCAGAGGTAAGTCTCAATAATTGGTCAGTTGCAGGACATGAATATGGTTTCCTCAAATTCACCAACTGTTTCCTCAGTTCTTAGAAGTAGGGATGTTAAACAGAATTGACAAGTGCCAGCAAAAGAAGTCTTGCCTCCAGAATAATTATGTTCTGTACTTTCTTGTTCTGTTCTAATCTATTCCATTCTATTCTGTTCTTTCCATTCCGTTCCATCAAGGCGTATTGCCTCCAGAATAATTCTGTTCTGTTCCATTCCTTCTTATCACTATATCCCTATCCTATATATTTTTATATATATTCTATATTCTGTTTGTCTAGAACTGGAGCCACCACAGTTTTCCAGAACTCTCCATTCCAAATGAGATCATCGGGAGGTGGGAATTCCTGAGCTCAGAGAAGAACCATATTTGATTTGATTTAATTAAAAAGTTCAAAACATTTACCCTGACTTCCTTTCATATTTTTAATAATGTCCCCTTCTTTCAACTTAATTGTTAAAATTGAGTTACCACATGAGGAAAGACTGCATGACTACAGTCAAGGTTTCAGTTGCTGTGTGGGCCTTGAGTCTTCAGGATGTACATGATAGGGCATAGGCAGGTTTGTGTATTGAAGATTTCTTGAAGACATTGATTCGGTATGGATGATTGGATCATGGAGAAGAACTTAAAAAGATAGTCAGGAAAATATGTGGAGCCTGGCTTCTAGAATTCCTCCTTCCAATTCCATTACCAGTTGTGGTTTTATGGGACATCTACATATTCTTTGTCATGCATTGTGTCTGCTCATTTCTGCTTTCCTCTCGTTGTATTTGCATTTGGATGCACAAAGTGGACTGCCTATCATCTGTTCAGGCCTCAAGACCAGGAGAAAAGGGAAGTTGGTAAAATGGAGCAGTCAACAATATTCTAAGCTCAACGTTGCCCAGCTACTTCTCCCTTAGGGATGCACAAGAACAGGGCTCTCCAAATTTGGAATCTTTAAGACTCCTGGACTTCAACTCCCAGCATTTCTCAACCAACCATGCTGACTGAGGAATTCTGGGAGTTGAAGTCCACAGGTCTTAAAGTTGCCGTGTTTGAAGACCCTTGCACTTAGACACATTTGGGGGAAGATTTTTATTTTAATCTGCAGATCGTAACCTAATACAGTCATTTTCAAATTTGTTTTTCGATTGCCAACTTTTCCCACACCACCAGACTCGGTCTTGATCTGTTCTGCTTCCTTGCCTACAGAAATACACCCAGCCCCAAAAGTCCCCTTTTCATTTCCTTCCAATATTTAATGTAGTTGAAAGAAAAAAAAAAAAACGGATCCTGCATATTGCCAGGATGATTGGGCTCACAAGCTGAACATCATCTCCTTAACCCTTATAACCCGTTAGAGGATTCATAATAGGACTAAAGTTCTGTGTCGTTAGTCAAGGTATCTCTCCAGCTTGATGGATTGTTATTTAACTACAAGGTAAACAATTCTTTCTTCCTGAAATTCTATGCAGAGAGATCTAGCTCTTGATTTCTAGAAGTTCTTAGATGCCACACAAGGCATTCAGATGGGTTTTGCTAGAAACATGTTTTTTTTTTCTGTGTGGAATGATCGGCAGACTTTAAAAATAGGAAATGTTAGTGAAAGGACAAAACTTATCTTTGAAAGACTGATGTCTTTGTGTGGGGGGGCTTCTGCAGGTGGAATGATGCCTTCCGTCAGGAGGTCATTTCCAGTCGAATAGAGACCACAAAATCCTTGGCGAAAGCCATCAGAGATGCTGAACACCCACCTCAGGCCTGGGTCCTTGTCACCGGCATAGGTATTAACCACAATGCTCTAATGTAACTTTGCTATCTCTTTGATTGTAAGTAAGTAGTGAGTGCATAAAGGGACGTGGTGGCTCAGTAGCTAAGACGCTGAGCTTGTCTATCAGAAAGGTCGGCAGTTCACTGGTTCGAATTCCTAGCACTGCATAACAGAGTGAGCGCCCATTACTTGTCCCAGTTTCTGCCACAACCTAGCAGTTTGAAAGCATGTAAAAATGCAAGTACAAAAATAGGGACCCCTTTGGTGGGAAGGTAACAGCGTTCCATGCACCTTCAAAGGCATTTAGTCATGTCGGCCATATCACCATGGAGATGTCTTTGGACAGCACTGGATTTTTGTGATAAGCACTGCCTCCTAGAGCCAAAAATGACTGGCACGTATGTGCAAGGGGAACCTTTACCTTTAAGTAGTGAGTGTAAACACAGGTAGGCCTGAACTTACGACCACAATTGAGCCCAAAATTTCTGTTGCTGAGGGGGACAGTTGGTGAGCGAGTTTTGCCTCACTTTACCATCTTTCTCATCACAGTCGTTAAGTGAATCGCTGTGATTGTTAAGTGAATCTGGCTTGACCTTGCTTGTCAGAAATCGCAAAAGTTGAACAGATGACCCAGGGACGCTGCAAGCATCATAAACATGAGTCGGTTACCGAGCATCTTGAATCTTGATCGTGTGACCAACGGCTGAAAAACATTCATAAGTCACCTTTTTCCAGTACATTTGTAACTTCAAACGGTCTTGAAATGAACTGTTATAAATTGAGGATTACCTGTAATAGGAAAAGGGTTTTGGGAACCAAATTAATCCCTCAGCCTTGATGGGAACTACTTTTAAACTAATTTGTGTGAAGTATGGATGGTCCTCAACTTATGACCACAGTTGACCCCAAAGCATGTGTTGCTAAGTGAGAAATCAGTTAACTGAACTTTTGCTCCATTTTACCACCTTTCTTGCCACATTTGTTAAGTAAATCATTGCAGTTAAATTAGCTGTGAAGTGGATCTGGCTTTCCCCATTGACTTTGCTTGTCAAAAAGGTAGCAAAAGGGGATCATGTGACCCAGAGGTACTGCAACCATCATAAACATGAGTCAGTTGTCAAGCACCCGAATATAAATCACGTGACCCTGGGGATGCTGAGATGGTCATACGTGTGGAAAATGGTCGAAACTCACTTTTTCAGTATTGTTGTAACAGGCCACTAAGTGAACTGTTGTAAGTTGAGGACTACCCATATTGACTACTGTTGACCATCAGATTCACTTATATAGCAACCGACAAAATTATGTATCTACACTAAGAATCTTAAAACCATTGGTCTCATGGCTGGGTTCTATCGCATATTCATTAACATTCTGACCAATCAGAATGAAGGTTGTTGTGAAAGAATATTGACAAGCAGCAGTGTATTTGACTATATATTAAGTATATTAAGGCAGTGTTTGTCAAGTTTTTCAACATTTAAGATGTGTGGACTTCAACTCCCAGAATTCCTCAGCCAGCATGGCTGGCTGGGGAATCCTGGAAGTAAAAGTCTGTACCTTGAAATTGACATGGTTGAAAAATACTGCATTAGGGTCTACTTGAAATGGATGCATTTTTCCCCTTGAGGTTTAAGATTAATTGGTGTAGCTTGCAAAAATGGCATCTGAGAGTGAAGAGTGCCATTGAGGGAAAAAAGTCAAAACTTGGCTAAAGTGACTTGACGTAGATGGTGGCTCAGTGAATTCAGCCATTACAGTCATGATTTGGCCTGTAGGGTGTTCAGAACCAATCAACAATGGTTTGTGATTAAGCAAGCTTTCATTATGTGAGGTGCATCAAAGGAATTAAAAGCCAAGTGAATAGGGGTACTTCGGAGCGGCATGGTGGTCTAGAGGTGGATCTCTCTCCTCATAATCAGGAGGTTATGAGTTTGATCCTAGGTAGTGTCAGGTATTTCTTTCTCCAGCCACAGTGAGTAATTATCTGCTGTGAACTCCATGTAGGTGTCAGGAAGGGCCAGTAAACTCAGCTCCAAATCAGTCACCCTGACCTCAACCCAAAGCAAGGGAGTGCAGGGTTGTTAAAAGAAAAATAAAATAAATTAGGGGTTCTTATAGCCCTACAGATATTCATGAACTCCATTAAGGACCCTCCATATGGAGCTGTTATGGATTGTAGACCGCCAACACCTGGAGGGTTAAAAGTTTACAATCCTGTATTTAAAAAAAGAATAGGTATGAAATTTCACTGAATAATGATTAAGCCAAGACCTGTTTTGCAAACCTCAAGAAGAGCGTGTTTTCTTGAACTGAGTAATTTCTGCAGCTTTCTTGGGAAAAGTATTTCTCAACCATTTTGGGTAGATATATTCCAAAGTTCAGATCTAAAAGATGGGTGTTTGTCCCAAGAGCTGTTAATCTATCTGCATGGGGTGCCGTTCCGTAATAAATCATCTAATATCTCCTCCAGGATTTTACCGGCCCAGCCACACCACCAAATACACTGAAGAAAGTCCAGGCGGAGACTTCGATTTCTTCTCTCGCTTGGTATCCTCTTGGGAGGAAGCAGCTAAAATTCCTAGTGAAGCCACTCGCCAAGTGGTAGTAAGATCCGGTAAGACAAGACAACATTTATTTGTACACTACAAATTCCAAACTTCTGCTTTGAAGATACTTTTTGTCTCCAACCCCTGGTCTGTGGCATGCCGCAGAAACTGGGCCACACAAACAAGTGAAGCTCCATCTGTGGTATTCAGGCAGCACACAAAAATCACACACACTCCAGTCCCCGGAAAAACCTTTCTCCATGGAACGGTCCCTGGTGCCCAAAAGGTTGGGAGAATGTTGTTGTACTCTACATGGAATCTAGGAAGCTTCTGATTCAGTTCTCATTCATTGTGGCTTTTGGTCACAAATGTTGTTGACAGTGTTTCCCCTGATGAATCGGGCATACCTCTTTCCTCTTATCACAAACATAACTAGAATAATATGTGGCGTTGGAGTCACATACAGTTAGCCCTGGACTTACAAGTTTGTTTAGGGAACCAAAGTTTACAACAGCACTGAAAAATAGTGACTAATGACCATTTTTCAGGCTTACGACCATGGCAGCATCCTCAGGGTCACGCAATCAAGATTCAGACGTTTGGCAACTGACTTGTATTTGTGACGGTTCCATTGTCCCAGGCTCATGGGATTCCCCTTTTGCGACCTTCTGACAATGAGGAAGCCAGATTTACTTAACAACCTGTCTTACTGACTTAACCACTGCTGTGGTTCATTTAACCAGTGTGGCAGGAAAGGTCATTAAATGGGACCAAACTCACTTAACAAATGTCTCACTTAGCAATAGAAATTTTAGGCTCCAGTTGTGGTTGTAAATTGAGAACCACCTATATAGGTTAAGCCAGAATGTACCTTGCTTGGTGTGCACCGTGTCACTGAACTCCAGTTTTCTAGCTTGGCGTGTTATACAGGTAGTTCTTACAACCACAATTGAGCCCAAGGTTTATGCTGCTAAGTGAGACATTCATTAAGTGAATTCTGCTCCATTTTATGGCCTTTTTTTGACAAACCTGTTAAGTGAATCACTGCAAGTGTTAAATTAGTAACAGTGTTGTTAAATGAATCTGGCTTCCCCACTGACTTTGCTTGTCAGAAGGTTGCAAAAGGGGAACACATTACCCCCAGTACACTGCAAGTGTCATCAATATGAGCCAGTTGCCAAGCCTCCAAATCACATGATCACTGGGATGCTGCCACGGTCGTAAGTGTGAAAAATGGTTGTAAGTCACCTTTTTTCAATGCCATTGTAACTTTGAATGGTCACTAAATGAACTGTTGTAAGGTGAGGTCTACCAGTACAGACCTGTTCCATTGGGGGCATTTTCAGAGAACCATCCTGTGATGACCCAGGGTGTGGCACAAAGGCAACTCAGCCAGAGGATTAAGTATGGGTCCCTTTATTAGCTCCAACTTTGCCCCAATGTCCCGGTTACCTTTCGGTCTGGAGAAAAACTCTCCCACAAACCTGCAACAGCCTTTGGCTGCAGATATTCCAATCCAAACATTGTAAACAGAAAACTTTAAATTATCCAACAAGGCAAAATAAAGTAATAAATTTGGCAGGGTAAGATAAGGAGTTCCAGAAGTGAAGTAACATGGCAGTAAATCAAACCAGTTGGGAGGATGCCAGGAACTCAGATAACAGCAGCTAACACTAGATTAACTCAGCAATTGTTCCCGACAACTATCCCTCCCATCTGCTTCTCCTTTAAACTCCATCCCCAGGTGTGCCTTGTGAAGGGAATCGAGGCCCTTTCCTCCCCCGTAAGCCACGCAACCCATGTTGCTCTCTTCTCCGTTCTTCCCTGCACGCCCTAGGATGAAAAGGGGATTGGGCCTTGATTTTCCTCTGAACTCCCTTGTTCTGCCTCTTCCCTGTTCTGCCCAGCCTGGCAAAGTCGGTTTCCTCCACAGCCAATGGAGCCACTCTCCTGCTCCCTGTCAGCTGTTCGTCTTCCTCCTTGGATTCAGACTCAGACCGTGGGGGGGGGGGGGGGGGGGGGGGGGGGGGGCAGGCAGGCATAATGCATCTAACAGTGCAGTGCCTAAGGGAAGCCTATATGAAATGCACTTTGTAACTCTGTAATTATATCCTTGTTTGCTTTAAGGTGCTGTGCTGGGCAAAGACGGTGGTGCCATTAGCCAGATGATATGGCCTTTCCGCCTTGGACTGGGAGGCCCGATTGCTTCTGGGCACCAGCATTTCCCTTGGATCCACGTCGTTGACTTGTCAGGAATTGTGACCCACGCCCTGCAGAAAGAGGGCCTTAGAGGCATTTTAAATGGTGTGGCGCCGTCTGCCGTGGACACCACCAGCGAGGACTTTGCCCGGGCGATGGGGTCGGTGCTTAAACGTCCCGCCTTCTTGCCTCTGCCGGGTTTTGTAGTGAAAGCCGTTTTTGGCTCTGAGCGAAGCACCATGCTGCTCGATGGGCAGCGGGTGCTTCCCAAGAGGACTCTGGAGAGCGGCTACACGTTTGCATTCCCTGATCTTTCCTCAGCTCTCCAGGATATTTTAGATTGACCTGAAGAGACATGAGGCTGCATGTCAACGTGTTTCCGTTTTGTCTAATACTTGCTCGGTAGGCGCAACGCTCAGTCTTGTAAATAGGTTGGTTTGTAATGCCGTAGCTTGTTTTTGAGCACTGGAGTTTCCAAGTCAGGATGTTGCTCTGTTCGAAAAAGTTTAGCTTGTTTCAGAAGAATGAAAGCTATGTCATGGGGGAAACGGTGCTGTGAAGAGAAGAAGAGTAGTTTACAATGGTTCCTCCCGTGGATGATAGATTTGTCATCTTTTCTTCTAGAAGTTATCTTACCGCAACTAAATGATTATCGGGACGGGCAGCAAAATGTTATAGTATCTGTGAAACAATGCAGCAATCTTTGAATGGAGAATATATCAGTGGTGGATTCCCATGTTGGGTGAACTTTTGAATGTATTTATTTATTTGGGGTGCGGGGCGATGGCTTAGAGCAGAGATCTCCAAACTTGGCAATTTTAAGACTTGTGCACTTCAATTCCCAGAATTCCTCAGCCATCTTTGCTAGTGGAGAATTCTGGGAGTTGAAGTCCACAAGTCTTAAAGATGCCAAGTTTGGGGACCCCTGGTTTAGAGGTTAAGATGCTGGGCTTGTCATCCAGAAGGAGACAAGGAAAGATTAAACAAGGATGCAGTGGTCCCAAAAGTGCTTTTTTCCCCCCTAAGTCAACTAGACATTGTTTTTCTTTGAAGATGTTTCGCTTCTCATCCAAGAAACTGCTTCGGTTCTGAAGGAATGGTTGAGGACGGGAGGGTTTATATTTCTTGCAAACACTTGGTCGTTAGTGGTCTTTTTGACACTTGTTGAGGCTGCTTGGAGGTTTATCTGTGCCCTAAAGGTCACCTATATAATAGAAATGGGTATAGAAACGGGCTGTCAAACTCTCAGCACACGGACCAGATGCATCATGCACTGGCCATAGCCATGCCTGGTTTAGCGAAAGGGGAAAAAAAAATAATGATAGGTCACATCACGCCGCGAGTTTGACACCCCTGGTGTAGAACCTTCTTGGAACTGCTGAAAGGATTGTGTTACAACATCACCTATCTCCTATTTACAACACAGTTCTTTCAGGAATTCTGAGAAAGTTCCACAACCATTTGCATGATTCAGAGGGCACAGATAAAACCTCAACGAGACTCAGAAAGAGCACTAACGACTGGATGATTGCAAGGAATATAAACGCTTGCATCCTCCAACATTCATTCAGAACCGAAGAAGCTTCTTGGATGAGATTGCAAAATGTCTTCAAGGAAAAGGAAAGTCCAATTGCTGTCTGAAAAAATCACCTTTGGGACAAGCATGGCCTGGATGACTGAGAATCTCCATAGACAAGGATGCAGAAGGGGGCTTGCCAGAGGGGGAACTGGCAGGAAATCCTCCGCCCCATGAGCTTCATTGGGCTCAATTTTGTCTCAGTCTGATGTTTCCCCAAGGCCACAGGTCTGCTCTTGACTTAGGATTTCTTCCACCCCAGTCTTTGCATTAGCTCAACATGTGATGCCATTGTGCGGTTTTGCTTGCTTTTCGCTTTGTGGAATTAAATCATGGTTAAGCAAAACAAATATCCTGTCTTGTCTCTTGTTATGTCCTTGTGTACTCAAGGTGTCCTGAATGCATTTATCTGGCTTATTATGTTAGTGGGTGTTCCCCCCCCCCCAAATATTTTATTAACTGGTGAAGTCTGTTTTGAGTTGGGATCATATTCTAGTCATCTTTTGGACAAGTCCTTGTAGTTTCCTTAGCAGGATTAATGAGGAAGAATATATTTATATAAATGCTTTCCGGTGTGATTTTGGATGGCCCAAGCTGCAGCTAAAACAAAAGCTTCTGAGCTTCCAGATCCAGATCAAGGTAATCCAACTGTTGTCACCTTTAGTTTTTTTAAAAAATGTACCGTATTTTTTGGACTATTAGATGCTCAGGACTATAAGACAGACCTACCTTTTGGGGAGGAAAACAAGGGTGGGGGGAACTGCCTCCACTTTCCAGGAATTGCCTCCTTGCAGCAAACAGCCTGGTCAGCCTTATCACAGCATGATTTAGCACAAGCAGCTGATTGGTGGTTGGATTGGCCTCCCAGAATACCACCAATCAGCTGTTCCAGGCTGTGGGGATTGCTGCCACCCATTGGCTTTGTAACTGAGTCCATCCACCTGGCTGCTGGTTGTCGTCTTTTCCTTCCGCCTTAATTAGCATCTTCAGTTAAAGGATCTGAAGTAGGGTAATTATTGGAGGAACAGTATCCAGGCATTCGGAAACCAGATAAATGTTCTCTCTAAAAAAAAGCTGTGTTAGCAATCACTTTGATCTTATTGAGGGGTGGGGTGTTGCTTTGGATATGTGATCTATCAAGCAATCTCCTTCACTTTGGGCTGGGGAGGACCCAAAACATACAGGTAAATGCAGCAGCAGTTGCAAGCCAGGCGTTCCTTGGCTTAGTAGTTCCACTGGGTGGGAGGGAGGCTTAGAAATGGCCGCAGGTGCACAGGGATGAAGAGAGAACTGGGATATAGCCAATACAAGGGAAAAGGAAGAGCAAAAGTGGAGTTGCAGGAGGAAGAAATCCAAAGGCTGTAGAGACCAATTGGAGAGAGCCGTGTGGTCAGTAGGAAACTGGGATGGCTTTGGCAGGAAAGAGGTCTAAGTGTTTCCTTCCTTGTTTCCTTCCTTCCTCTGTCCCCTTCTTCCATTCCCCTCCCTCCCTTTCCTTCCTTCCCTCCCTATTCCATTCCCCTCTTCCTCTCCCTCACTTACTTCCTCCTCTCCCTCTCTTCCGTTCCCCTCCCACTCTTTTTTCCTTCCTTCCCCTCCCCCTCCTTCCTCCCTCGTCTTTCCTGTTCCCCTCCCCCTTTCATTCCTCCCTCTCCCATTTCCCTCTACTTCTTCTGCCCCCTCCCTCTCCTATTCCCCTCCCACTCTTCCTCCCCTCCCTTCCTTTTTTCTACCCATCTGTATTTTGTACGCAAAGGGTAACCGAGCACTTTAAATCGAGGAGACCGGGGTGCAAAAGCTTTCGGGGTGACCCCTGAAAAGTGTTCCTGACAATTGCTCCCTCATACTTCCTAACACAGCAGGAGGAAATGCTGAAATAAAGGAGAATCTCCTATGAGTAATGTTTAATTCACTAAACGGAAACAAAATCCTTCCGCAGAGCTTGGAGAACGCTGTTCTCCCCTAAAACTGGTATAACAGGGGAGAACATTTTTGTCCTCTAACAGTCCTTTAGCCTTTGTGTAAAGGAATGAGAAAGAACTCAGAGGTATGTTGGCTATCTTGTTCTACATGTTTTCCTTAACAGTCATTAACTTTTATCTCCATCTCTTCCCTTTCTTAAAGAATAGGGGAAGTCTTCCGCCAGGCGGTGGAGAACATGGGTAGTATTTACCTCAATAAACCCTTATACAATTGTAAGGTGGAAGGAATCGCTACTGAATACAGGAAGATTTCTAAACAAACACATGCCTGAATTGTCCCAAAGATAACTTTTCAAGTGACATCTTCTTCAGTTTCTTGGATGAGAAGCGAAAGGTCTTCAAAGAAAAACCTGAAAATCCAGTTGCCTCTTGAAAGAAGTACTTTTGGGACAACCATGACCTGGATGGCTGAGAATCTGCATAGACCGTATGTTTGAATTTTTCAAATTCCAAGCACTGAGTTTTTATTTTTCTGTACAATTCTGTCCCCTGATGGGAGACAAAAAACTAAACTTTGAAGAATCAATCTACAAAAAAGGGTGAATGGCTACTCCTCGCTTTATGACCATAATAATTGAGCACAAAATTTCTTTTGGTAAGTGAGACATTTGTTAAGCAACCTTTCTTGCCACAATTGCTAAGTGAAACACTGCAGTAGTTAAGTTAGTAACCTGGTTGTTAAGTGAATCTGACTTCCCCCCACTTGACTTGGCTTTGTCAGAAGGTCGTAAAAGAGGATCACATGACACACACACACCCCCAGGGACCCTGCTACCGTCATAAAGATGACTCGGTTGCCAAGTGTTGGAATTTTGATCACGTTACCATGAGGATGCTGCAGCGGTCTTTAAGTGTGAAAAATGGTCATGTCACTTTTTTTCATTGCCGTTGTAAGTGGTCACTAAATGAACTGTTGTAAGTTGAGAACTATCTGTAATTAGAAGGAATAACAGAAATTAATGACCAGTGCAGTGGCCTAGAGGTGGAGCTCTCACCTCACAATCAGGAGGCTGGGAGTTCGATCCTTGGTAGAGGCTGATATTTGGAATACAGTCTGCTGCTCGAGCTTGGGTTGGACTAGATGACCTCCCAGGTCCCTTCCAACTTAATTCTATTCTGTTATTCTATTCTAATGTCTCCTTTAAAAAATAGAAAAGAATAACAGAATCGCAAAAGGTGATAACTTCCTGGGACACTGCAACCATTATAAATGCATGCCAGTTGCCAAGTGGGGATATTAAAATGATCGTAAGTGTGAAAAAACAATCATTAGTCATTTTTTTTCAGTGCTGTCATGACTTCAAACAAGTCACTAAATGAACGGTTGTAAGTCAAGGTCTACCTGTATAATGCTGAGCGGAAAAATGTTCAGAGACTGGGCAGGGTTACCGATTTCTCGCATCTCAATTTTGCAAACTGAAATGTCCCCAGGTTACTTTAGGGACAGTAGGGTAAAAGCATGTACTTTGGGAAAAGAAAGATAAAATGTGTCAAAACAGTCCCGCTTCTGCAGCCTTCTCAGATGCCTGTGCATTTTTAATTTTTTATATTTTTTTGGAATCACGGTTGCTAATTTTTGGAATGAAATCCCCCCTTTTGATCTTCAAGTACTTGAGTATTTCAGTTGGAGTGTTTGAGCATTCCAGGATTTGAGAGGGTGCCACAAAGAAGAGGGGGACAGCCTATTTTCCAAAGCACCAGAAGTCAAGACAGGAAACCATGGAGGGAAACTAATCAAGGAGAGAAGCAACCTGGAATTAAGGAGAGACTTCCTCACAGTGAGAATCAGTGGAATGGCTTGCTTTCAGTAGTTGTGGGTTCTCTCAACAAGGGAGGCTTTTAAGAAAAGACCACACAGCCACCTGTCTGAAATGGTATAGGGCAGAGGTGGGTATTCAGCAGGTTCTGACCAGTTCTGGAGAACCAGTAGCGGAAGTTTTGAGTAGTTCAGAGAACCGGCAAATACCACCTCTGCCTGGCCTCGCCCCCATCTATTCACTGCCTCCCGAGTCCCAGCTGATTGGCTGGGTCTTCTTTGGTTGCCCTGCACAGGAGAACAGAGCTGGAAAGCAGGTTAGTGGGGTGGGGTGGGGAGGAAATGGAGATTTTGTAGTAACCTTCCCCTGCCCTGCCCACTAAGCTACACCATGCTCACAGAACTGGTAGTAAAAGGCTTTGAATCCCACCACTGGTATAAGGGTCTCCTGCTTGAGCATGGGGTTGGACTAGAACCTCTAAGGTTCCTTCCGCCTCTATTTGATTGGATTATAAGTACGATTGCAAAAAAAACCCAAAAAACCCTGGTGGGATGATTTCATAAAACGGAGGAGGTTTACAGAAGTACAAGAGGGTTTGAAGGGGGAGCAGAAGTCTATGGGGGAGCCCCACAAATGTCACAGAGCAAACTCAAGGTACCCAAGGGCAACAAAGAATGGAAAGAATGGAGGGAAATTAAATGCAACTTCTGGATTATGGCATGGCTGATCGAAACCAGAAGTGGGGCATTTTACACCTAACTTTTTCCTATGGGAGCCAACATCCTTTCTGATTCTTGGGGTTGTTTTTTTTTTTTTTTTGCTTTTTTAAAGGGGGTTTCTCAGGATGTCACAGCAATGCAATGACATCAAAAAGGCAGGGGGCAGGCTGTGAAGCGTTCGACCATTTCATGCTTCTGTTTAGCCTTGAGGAGGGTTATTAGTGGTTTGCAGGAAAAGAAACTTCTCATCCTGAACTAGTTTCACCCCCTTGCAGAAAACATTTGCAGACAGGAAACTGAGGCTAGACTAAGCAAGTTCTTGTTTGGGGCACTGGCAACAGCCAGAAGGTTACGAAGACTGGATCCTGGGCGCCACAGCAAGGCCATTCTGCACACAATCGGGCATACTTTGGCAGACCCAAGGTCCTAAATGAAGCTTGGGGTTTTTGCTGATCACTGGTTGGCGGCAGTTTGGCAGTTTTAATCTCACCAGACTCAAGGTTGACTCAGCCTTCCATCCTTCAACCTCTGGTAAAATGAGGACCCAAATTTTTGGGGGCGATATGCTGACTCTGTACACTGCTTAGAGAGGGTTGTAAAAGCACTGTGAAGTGGTATATAGGTTTAAGTGCTATTGCTATTCATTTGCAGAGAGACAACAAAACAAGAATTACCTACACATACACAATACTATATAATCATATATTCAAGTTAAGGGTGTCCTAATCCTATGCACACAAAATGTTCCTTCTACTTACAGACTTTGTTTACCCAGTTTTTAGTTACTCGATTCACCCTTTGCCCTGAGTTGCAGATTCCTTGAAGCACAAGCAGTCTGAAAGGATTGATAGGGACGAATGTGATAACTCACGCAGATACCCCAATGCAGGCACACACACACCTCCCAAAGCCTTTAAAATCAACATTTGCACATTGGGCGACAGCACCAACTAATCCCGGTCACGACATTGTGTGATTGCATAAACCCAACTAGATGCATGGGCGCTGAGAATAACCATGCACCTTTGCAAAGAGAGGAGAAAGCATGGGGTGAGGAAGGGAGGGAGGGAGAGGGAGAATGGGGGGGGGGGAGAGGAAGGAACATAGGGATAGAGGATTGTGGTGGTCTCTCATGAAAAGAAGACACTACGCAAAGTTGTCGGGATGAGAGCGCAGAGGGAACTCCGAAACCCTCTTTTATTAGAAGCAATCTTTGTTAACGTAGTAATTTTGTTAATGTCCTATCACAAACGCATTACATCACACAACATGCACTGATCATTCGCATAAAGCATACAAAGCTGCAGAGTTTAAGTTTGCTACAGTTCTGGTTAAGAAATGGCAACAATTTGTCTTTGCTCCTTGCTCCGTGTTCCAGCCAACCACCAGAAGGCTCTGTTGTCCTAGTACGTACACAAAGAACAAAGAATCATAGTTCCCACATCTCCCCTGTTTTTCCTTTTTAAGAGACAGGGAGTGTTTTAGTCCCAACAACAGTCTTTGTCAGGCCCGTAGGCAAGAGTGCTGTGCATGCTGATGTTATCCACGGCGTTCGTGACTTCTTCAACCATCACAAACGTCCTCGTCTGGGTCATCACAGGTTGGTTCTCCTATCTCATTTTCGAATGGCAGTGGTTCATATGTGTTAGTTATTTGTTGATTCCAGAGAGCCATTACCTGTGCAGTGGCTTTTTTCTCAGCCAAGAGGGATAAACTGTTAGAAATAGTGCGTACAAAGATGGGTAATACACAAGGCAATACAACACATCCCGCAGCAATCATACCAATGAGCGCTACAATAGCTTGCAAACCAGGCAATTTTGGGAACCAGGATCCAAACATGTCTCTAAAATCAAGACCTAAAAAACGATATTGTGCCCCCTTAGATTCAGGTAAGTGAGTGTACAAGCAAATGGGATTACATTTGTCAGTGGTACATGAAGTAGAGCTTGATTTAACAGTGATATTAATATTTTGAGGGCCTCTTACTTGAGCAGAGTCAATAGGTGGGGTGTACCAGTAGTTGTAAACAGTGGTGGCCCCCACGTTAGTCCCGGACACCTTTTGAAAGAGATATTTCTTTTCCTGTAGATAAGATCTCTGCCAGCTGTGTGAGCCGCAGGTAACTCCTGCAGCGTCGTTAGGACCTTGACCTTTGCTGATGGCAAGGCAAGCATCAAAGCAGACTGAGGTGTTGGTACCCTCCCCCCGAGTGACATTATGGGTTATGTACCCATTTTTTGTTTGGTAGAGAACATTCCTGCAAGATCAGAACTGGAGCCACCTTTGTATGCATAGACATATAGGGATGCTGTAATGGGTCCCACTGCCTTGGGCTCATAGCACTGAATGCCTTCGGCAGTGTAACATCACGCATATTGAGTGTTGTTATGCAGACAAGGGGAGACCATCGTGGAGTTGCACTCAGGCTTCAAGGTATGATAGATCAGGGTGGATTGGGTTTTCGTTCCGCTGTGAGCAGTTTTGATGCAGGCGTCGCAGGAGGATGGGGTGGCTGTCGTATCGGCAGGAACGATGTGGAAACCCAGGAGGCAAATGATGAATGCAGTGGGCAGCTTCACGATGCTGATGTAGGCAAGGCTGGTTTGGGTAGAAAAGGCCTCATTTGTCCTCCGGTGACCCAGGTGGTGGCGTTGTTGTAGGAAACAGACACATACCCTCGTCCCCAGGTTATAAGTTCAGCTGGCCCGTGCCATGTGGGATCTGGCAACTGTCGAAAGTAGACTGGAGGTCTAGGAGCATCCTTGGGTGGAGAGCAAAAGTGTCAAGAGGCAGCAGCAGAAGCAGGTGTGCCAGACTCATTCAGGAAATTCAGTGTAAATAAGCTTGTTTTGCAGCATGGGTAGCCCTGGGGTGAGTTTCCCCATCGAGTTTTGAACTTTGTCAAGAGCATTCTTAAGGGTCAGATTGGCTCTTTCTACTATGGCCTGCCCTTGAGAATTGTATGGAATGCCAAATTTATGCAAAATGCCCCATTTTTTACAAAAGGTAGCAAAGTTGGCACTAGTATAGGCGGTGCCATTATCAGTTTTTAATTCTGAGGACTTTCCCAGGCACGCAAATGACTGGATGCAGTGGTTAATGACATGTTTTGTGGTCTCTCCTCTTTGCGGGGAGGCCATGATGAACCCTGAGTATGTGTCCACTGTAACATGGATATATTTCCATGGTGCAAAAGGCGCATACTGGGTTACATCCATTTGCCAAATTTGGCAGGCTTTTAAGCCTCTGGGATTTACTCCCATTGGCAGGGCAGGGGCTTGCTTGCTGCAAGTAGGGCATTGTTGAATAATTGCAGCAGCCTCTTGGGCGGTGATTTGGAATTCCTTCATAAGAGCCCTTTTATTTTGATGAAAATAGTTATGACTGTCCCAAGGGGTTAGGGGAGAAAGAAAGCGGATAGAATAGTAGCAGCAGATGCGGCTGAGTAACTTTGGTGCGCCATTGCCCTTCTGAAAACCAGGCACAGGCACCATATTGCTTCCCTCCATCTGCATATATAGTGATCGTAGAGGGAATGGGGGCTGTGGATTCTATTAATTGCCAATTAAAAGGAACCAGCTTAAGTAAATTAAGCCAGTCATCTGCAGGGAGATGGCAGGAAATAGTCACCGGCCATTCTCCCATTACAATTTGTAATGACTCTGAATTCAATAGCATTACCTCCCAATCGGACAATGACATGGGGACATATAGTACAGAGGGTTCAATAGCCATTAGGGCTTTACAACATTGACGCCCTTTGTGAATAAGTATAGAGAAGAGCAAAGGTTTGGGGTTAATGGATTTACGAGGGGTATGAGGCAGATGTATCTATTCTAGGATGAGAAGTTTAGAGAGACTTTGAGCAAGAATTGCAGTAGGTAAGCACAGAAGGGAGAGCAAGAGAAGAAGAAGAGGGATTGGGTGAGGGGGGGTCAGGAGAACGGGGGGGGGAGGTTTACCAACCTCATTTGCCTCCAGGGGGGCAGTTGGTTTAAGAGACACAGGCACCACAGCGGGGGGGCAAGAGTTGTACAACAGGATTCACATAAGGAGGGGGTCCAGAAAGGGGGCCAAGTAGGGGTTGCTCTAGAGAGGAGAGAGACTCAAAAACCACCCTCCAAGCAATTAATATAGACGAAGGGGCCCTAGGACTTGCATGAAGGTATTTTCCAATCTCCTTCCATACTGTAGTTTTGATATTGCCTTTAGCCAGATAAGAAGGGCAGTGTTGCCAAATGTATTCTAGGAGTTCCTCAATAGAGGTTTTTGGGAGGGGGGCATGAAGGGAGCCCCCCCTTTTAAAGGTAAAAAAATTTCGTTTGGTCAATTCTCTGATTTCCTGAATGTGAGCTGCCTGCTCCTTAGAGAATCTACCACCCATACTTACGAGGGATCCGTTGTCGCCAGCGATTCAAGCGGATGGGGTGCACCAAGTCTATTCCAGACGATGAGAATGGGTGTGCCAAAGACGTATCTCTTTTGAGTGGATCACATCGGGGTCACCAGTTGTGGTGGTCTCTCATGAAAAGAAGACACTACGCAAAGTTGTCTTGGGATGAGAGCGCAGAGCGAACTCTGAAACCCTCTTTTATTAGAAGCAATCTTTGTTAACGTAGCAATTTTGTTAACGTCCTATCACAAACGCATTACATCACACAACACGCACTGATCATTCGCATAAAGCATACAAGGCTGCAGAGTTTAAGTTTGCTACAGTTCTGGTTAAGAAATGGCAACAATTTGTCTTTGCTCCTTGCTCCGTGTTCCAGCCAACCGCCAGAAGGCTCTGTTGTCCTAGCACGTACACAAAGAACAAAGAATCATAGTTCCCACAGAGGATGGATGGACAGATGTAGATAGATATAGGAGAATAGATGGATGGATGAATTGGGTGAGTGGATAGATAATAGATATGGATGGATGGATAGATAGGATATAGATAATAGATGATGGGTCGGTAGATTAGATAAGATAAGATGGATGGATGGATGGATAGGATAGGATATAGATAATAGATGATGGGTAGGTAGATTCGATTAGGTGGATGGGTGGGTGGGTAGATAGATAATAGATGATGTAAGATAATAAATAGGGTAGATAGATGACTGATAGGTAGGTAGGTAGATTAGATAGATAGAAAGATAGATGATAGATAAATAAATGATGGATGGATAAGTAGATCGATTAGATAGAAAGACAGACACAGACAGACAGATAATTCGGGCAATCAAATAATTTATTTAATGAGTTATAATAACATTTTGCCCTATGCATTGGGCCCAGAGAAACCCAGGCACCTTTGCAAAAGGGAGATGGAGGGGGAGGGGGGGAAGGGGCGGGAACGAAGGGAGAGAAAGAAGCGTCACTCTGCCTATGTTCAGAAACCTCTTGTTCTTCGCCAGGGCAGGAAGTTACCGCGGCAGAGGAACCCCCATGTCCTTTTCCCCTTGAGACGCGCCGCCCAGTTGGGAAACTCCAGCTCTGCACAAGCAGTCGGGCGCTTCCGCTTGGCACTAAGATGGAAGCTGATACTTGAGCGCCAAGTTTGCTGAGTTTTATTTTGGGGGGGGAATGGTGGTCTCTCGCGGGAGGGATCAGGGCAGAGGAAAGAGCACTCCCTCGTCCTCCTCTCTCCCCCCCGCGAAAGCCCAGCCCGGAAGAAGACTCAGCGATGGGAACGGATGGAGTGGTGGTTCTCAGCGGTGTGGGGGCTCCCTGGGAGACTCCAGCAGGTAAGGCGCACGGCGGAGCGCACAGATCGGGAAGCACGTTTTCTTTCGGGACTTCACTCCCTCCCTCCTTTCGGGGGAAAGGGGAGGGTCGTACTGGGCTGGAGGCAGGGGAGTGGGGTTTGGCCAGTCCCTGTCCCCTCGCCCACCAGTTCATCGGGGCGGCGACAGGGGCAGGATCTCCAATTGCCCACTGGGCTCGTGGTGGAACTCGGGAAAGACGCCGGGTTGGGATCTCGAGGAGGAAAGGAGAATTGGATGGGGGTAAGTTTTGGGGGCGGCTGGAGAGTGGGCTCTTCGGCCAGATCGTCGGGGCAGAGAGGCAAATGCTCCCTCTGCCTCCTTCAGCGCAAAGTGTGTGGGTGCCGCATCGTTAGCCGAGGCTAGTTTGCCCAAGAAGAGATCGTGACTGTGAAGGGTCCCTCTGGTTGTCGTTCCCCGTCCCCTCCCTTCGTTTCTTTTCTGAACCTTTTGCTTTTATGACGCTGGTCTCGTCTCGGATGAGAGATCCCTGTTTTCGGGCCGGCGGCTTTTTGTTCTAAGGAGATTTATGTTCTAAACTTTCCGTAACACCGAGTCAACTTTTGTTTTGTTTTGTTTCTCCTTTCGCTTGGAGAAGCAGTATGAAAATAGTGAGAAATCCCCTGGCATGAAAGTGGCGTGTTTTTGCATTTCCTGGCTTTTTAAGGTTCCAGTTGGTCGGGATTCCATCCACCCCAACTTCTGGGTGGATCCCCAATCCAGTGGGACGAAGGGAAACTCTCCTGGGTGGATCCTTCTGCCGCCACGAATTGGACTAGCAGACCTCCAAGGTCCCTTCCGACTCTTGTTATACTACGTTATTATATGAATCGAAGTTGGCCTTTGGTGTTTACGTTTGCTTTCCTTTTATAATCCACTGATCGTTTGATCGTTTAAACTTTGACACTCGCAGCACTGTGGCCTGGAGTCTGCCTTCCCTTTTGATCTCCCTGAGGGAAGGCAGGATTATAAATATGACAAATATACCGAAATGTAAACCTTACAAAAGAAGCCCGTGAGAGAGGTTGACACGAGTGGAAACGATTGGCCCAAACTCTCCTGGCAGGGCCATTCAATCTGATTCTATGCTTTAAGGATTATTTCACAGTGACCCTGTCAATGTTTTTATGACCGTAATCTTTTCCTTGCTTTGCCATCACTATATTATAAAGGTAGTCCTCAATGTATGAACATGGTGGATCCTAAAATTTCTGTTGCTAAGTGGGACATTTGTTAGGTGAGACATTTGCTCCATTTTACCACCTTTCTTGTCATAGTTGTTAAGTGATTCACTGCAGTTGATCAGTTAGTAACCTGATTGTGATGTCAGTCTGGTTTCCCCATTGACTTTGCTTGTCAGAAGGTCTCAAAAGGTGATCACAGGACCTTGGGACACAGCCACGGTCATAAATATGAACCAGCTACTAAGCATCTGAATTTTAAAAAAAATACATTTTATTGAATACATATTAAAATATTGGACAGAGTGTGACCTTTCTGGCATTTTCTTTGCCATACATACTATAACTTAAAACAAATAACCTTCTACTTATGTTACATTGCTAAATTTGTACTATTAACATATCCAGTATATTCATTTATATTTACAAAATAAAACCTCATGTTTTGCTATTTTTATACAACCAATTTTCCACAAAACTCCATTGTATTTTCATAAATACCATCCAATTTCAATTCTACAAATCATTATTTTCTGTTCCGACCAGCTGCCAAGCACTTGAATTTTGATCACATGATCATGGGGATGCTACAGTGGTCGTAATGGTGAAAAATGGTCATAAGTCACTTTTTTTCAGTTCCATTGTAATTTTGAATGGTCACTAAATGAACGGTTGTAAGTTGATTACTACCTGCATAATATAATTATTGTATTTGTCTTTGAAGTCAAGCTTTTCTTTTTCCCTCCCTCTTCCTGGAAGATGAGGTCAGCATTATATAGGCTTTGGGAATCGAAACTTATTTCTTTAAGCTAAACATTTAGAACATGGGTGCCCGACTTCTTTGCTTGTCTTAGGCTGCATGTAAAATATCTAAAATAATTAATGTATACAAATAACATAATTTTAAAATTATTGTGGGGCTGTATTTGCTAGCTGTCCAGGGTCACATGTGACCCACAGGCCATAGATTGGACACACCTAATTTGGGTGAAATTAAGCATTTAAACTATGTATGTGGGAAAGATCCCTAATTTTCTTTTCTCATTTGCATGTCCTTTACTATTGTATTCAGAGTTGCAAGTCAGCACTATTGGCAGATTTGTTTTAACTCCCCAGGGCTGATTTTGATGATAAGTGCAGCTTTATGTTGCATGAGCCCCTTATCAATGCAGAAGCAGGAGTTTGCTCAATCCAGTTGGAAATAGAATAAGAACTGAATGCATCCTTAAGGGAGCGGGGACAGCTGGTCTGCTGTTCTGAATATTGCCACTTCCTCCACTCTTAAGTCCTCTTTTCTTTTTTAAGTCATGTGACCTTGAATAACACTAGCACTCAGATTTATATAGTGCTTTACAGCCCCGTCTAAGCGGTTTACAGAGCCAGCATATTGCCTTCAACAATCTGGGCCCTTATTTTACCAACTTCAGAAGGATGGAAGCTGAATCAACTTTCACCTGGTGAGAATCGAACACTATCAGGCTGCTTTGCACATTCAGCTGGATGTTTGGACTGGATGTGGCACTTTTACCAACCTACTGAGTCCTTCCCAAGTTTGCGAGATAGGCAGATTGATGTTTCATGGATACTAAAGAGACTGAAAGCTTTTAGCAGCCTCATCCTGTGTCCTTTTGCTCTCTTGTTTTCACTGCACTTTCATCTCTCACCCACATCCCTTTTAATCAACTTGCTTTCTCTTCCTCGCAGCTTATTAGCTATGTAGCATCTTGGGCCCTCAACATCTGGCAGACACAAGCTTCCATCATGCCGAACAACAGGATCCTGGACGAATTTGCGGTGGCCGAGGAGGCCCAGGAGATGTTGATGCAGCACCGTCCTCAGATTGAGCACCTCTTTCAGGTGGAGCTGAATGTCATGGGGGTACTGGGATCAGACCCCAAAGGAGCAAGGAAGATCTGGTTGCAGTTGCAAGGAAACCAAGAGAATCTTCACAGGGCAAAGGTCAGGCAAACTTTGATCCTTGATCCAGTTTAATTCCTTTTTTAAAAAAAATATTTTTTTTATCAATATATAAATTAAATATATAAATAAATATTATATTTATTTAATATATAAATAAAAAGAAAGCAATGTGTTCAAAGTCCATATATACAGTGTGTTGCTTGGTTGCATTGTTTGGAGTAACATTCGTCATAATCATAGTAATAGTCTTCTCTAATGATAATTTCATGACAACAGTGCTTTTCCCTCATAACATTGATACATATTAATTAGTAAAATTAATCAAAATTAATCACAATTAATAAGTTGCAATAAACAACCCTGATCGTGAGATTACAAATTCCTATAAAACAATTTATCATAATTTTCTCGTTTGCCATTGGGAAACAAAGTCTCCAGGCTAAATGCAGGCTAATGTTATTTCATGAGAAGAAAATTATTCAGTCTGATTAACAGCAATTTTTCAAGGCCTTGCTTGGCAGTTTTGTTTCCTAACTTCTGTCATCTAACTAACAGTGGTCATCTGAATCTGAAGTTGGAAATACTTGGGTAATTGTTGGTAATCTGGCTCTGTAAACTAAGTTGGGATGTTGGAAAAGCTGCTTTACCAAGAAAATGGTGTGATTTTAGCCTTGAAGTCACTATATTAGAAGAAATTTCCATTTGGTTCAATGCCAAGCCAGGAAAAAGACACTAGGAAGCTGATTGGAATGATAGTTTAATAATGAAACAGAACCACATGTGATTTTGGGCAGCTGACCACATGGAATTGAGAGTGGGTGGCTTTTATACCCTCCCTGGGCTCTCTGTTCCTGTGCAAGAACATGTATTGGCTGTTGTAGGAGTTATCCAGAGGTCATAGCTGACTTTATAGGTTGTCAGAGCTATGTTTAATTGAGGGTGATGCAATGTCCTTAGGAGATTGTGCAATGCCTGCTGCTAGATGGTAGTGGGTTAATACTATTTATGCCCTAAAGGGTCATGTCTTAATCCCATCATCCTGGAGCTGAAGGTCTTTTGTTTTGTAGATAGGCTGGTTCAGTCCTTCTCAATGGGCACAATATATCTGCTGGCGGCAGGGAGCTGGGGCTCTGAGTTTCTGTTCCCTTAAGATTTTTTATTTCTCTTTTAGGGGAAATATTTTATCTTGCCTTTTTAAATATTTCTCAAAATATTTCATTCTTCTAGCAGGGGGTGGCTTCCCACAATGACGAATGGAAGGTTGACTTGAGGAGATTTGACTTAAGTTTAGCTCTGTAACAGAGCTAAACAGTAAACATGAGTTAGTGCTAATGATCAGATGACTGCAAAGAATACAAATCCTTCCATTCCCCACCATTCAGTTAGAACTGATGAAGCTTCTTGGATGAGAAGCAAAACATTTTCATAGAAAAACAAACAAACCTAAGAAAGTCGCCTTTTGAAAAGAACTTTGGGGACAATACTGATTGGGGTTATTTTCCTCCAACTTTGGGGAGAAAAATATTTAATGTGAAAGCCCAAGATGGATTCATTATCCAACTTAACAGGGCATCTTTTAATTCCAAGAAATTTGCTCCTTGGTCAAGCAGGCGAGAATTGTCTCAAAATTTAGCATAGTTTCTAATCTGCTTCACCAAACGCTTCTGTCTTCAGATTGAACAATTTTAGTTTAATTTCATTTTATTTTTTTACTTCAGGAAATGGGTACAAAATGGGTGAGTTTTCTGGAAAAAAATAGAAGAATTTCTAATGCACTAAATTTGATTTACTGTATTTCCTTAATTACACCATTTGCTTATTTTTTCTGTATAAACAGAAGCAGTTCCTTATTTACATAACTCTGTACTTTGTAATTCTGTGCAGTCCAGTGTAGACAAAAAAAATGGCTTATGCAAGGATTCCTTGGATCACTTGCACAGTACAGGGAGTGTTTCAGTGTTGTTTTATGTTTTCCTTAGTTTTCCAAAAATATTTTAAGTGAATATCGCTTATTTGAAGTAGTTGAAACAGTACACTTGAATAGATTCAAAGCTTGGCTCAGAAACTGTTGTTGTTGTTACTACTACTACATTTTATTTGCTGGTTATCTTACTCTAAGTGTGTCAGACCCATAAAAAATGAAGATATAAAAAGGAAGCTTAAATTAAGCAAAAGTAAAATACAACAGTAAAACAACTAAAGAAAACAAAGAAAACACATCAATATGATTTGTTAAAAAAGATGAAGAGTGGAAGCATAGAATGGATTAGGGTTAGAGTTATTAATCTAGCAACCACCTCCAGAATTATGTTAAATATGTGTGTGTATGTGTGTGTTCCTGTGTTTGTGTATATACACACACACACACATATAAATACACACACACATATATCATAACTATGATTTATTTAACTGCATTACTCAAAGCAGAAGAAAAATAGTGGTGCTGTGAGCTATGACTATGCCAATTTTTAGCAAACCCAAGAAATAATACAATTACATTGTATATACATGTGCTTATGAACTCAAAATACAGAACTGGCCCACAGTAATCCATATTGTAGGCCCACAGTAATCCATATTATATCAGGTTATGAATAAATTGCCTCTTTCCAGAAATGGATTTTTCTTTTTCTTTTTTGTAGTGTTGGAAAAAGTTCTCTTCAGATGTAATTTTCTGTCTAAAAGTATTCTGTTTCAGACACATAGAATGACCATATTGCACCTTCTTGTGTTTTCCAGGAATACATCAAAGGTCTTTGTGCCCCAGAGGTTCAGGAGGAAGTAGAGTATCCTAAAGAGATGCAGTGCATCTTCTTAGGTGCCCATGGGTTATTTCTGGACTGCCTCATTCGAGGGACATCTGCGAGCCTCACCTTTCTACGCCCGGGCACTCTCCTGATCTCAGGATTGGCAGAAGCTTTTGTCATGGCTCACAGCCGGATCCAAGAATTTGTGGGGAAACACCAGAAAAACCCTAAGCTACCAGAAGAACGGGAGGCTCAGGTTAAACGGTCCTTCCGGGAACTGGTGGAGAATTATGATGACAAACATGCCATGGATCTTTTGATCTTGCCCACTTCGGTCAAAGAGGAATTGCTTTGTTTGGTCAAGGAGATTCAGGAAGAAGACAAGGAAGGACAAAGGAATGGCTATAAGACACCGTTTAGTTTCGGGAGAGATTGTTTACTGGGGTGGGAAGCCAACGCTGTGAATAGTGGCAGATCTGGGTCTCAAGATAGGCCTCAACCTGTCTTCGGCATACCTGAAAAGCTCCATCAAGTCCAGGAACAGAATAGAACTAGAGATTCCGGTCCTGACTGGACTGTGGAATTTACCAGGCCACAAGAATCCCTTCAGAAAGCTGCAGATTCGATGCAACTACCATACCCAGCTAGGCCTTGGGATGTTAGGACTAACTCACCTACTGTGGATGCAAAATCTCAGGACCAAAAACATCTTCATGTCCCATGGGATGATTTTTCCAGAAGTTCTGATGAAGCCCAATTGCACACTAAGCCACAGGGACATCTGCCTGACTTGAATGGTCCTCAGCATTGGCTTGAGGCCATGACCACTAAGAATTCTGGGCTTCCCAAGAGTTCCTCTAAACCAATTCCAGCTACCTCTCAGATTCTATCTGGATACAAAGTCTTGAGAGAAAACTTGGAGGATCATCAAACAGTAGAGAAGAATCCCCTTTGGGCAACAGAATCGAGTCTCGTTAGTTTGCCTGAGGAAACCACTGAGGAGGAGGCAACATCTGACATTTTGCTGTCATCGTGGACTGAAAAAGAGTTCAAAATGAGGCTAAACTTCTTTAAAACGATGGGCTACGAAGAGCACGTGGTCAAAAAGATACTATTGGAGGGTGGAGTTCAGGAAGCCCCTTCAACTATCTTGGATAGAGTCCAGATGATGGCAGCAGGCTTGCCTCAAAACGAAGATACCTCCCCACCTCAGGAAGAGCCTGAACGACAAGGGCTCGATGCTTTGTCTCTGGAGGACCCATACGATGAAAACAGTTACGTCAAGGAACTGATCAAAACGGCAGTGGTCAACTGTGGCCATTGTCCCAGCAAGATCCCCACAGAAATACAAACAGGAGCCCCATTGGCAAGTCTCCTGAGGCAGCTCAATGAGAAAGGGGAACATCAAGATGAAGATGAGAGTGCGATAGGGGGATCATCAACGAAGCCAGAACATGGAGGCCAGTTTGGCACCCAGAGGGCAACCATTTTGAATCACGGGGAATCTTCTCAGCAGAAGGCTCACCCGGAAGAAAGGTGGAATGGTGTCCTTTCGAATCACAAGGGTGTCCATGTCCCAGCAAGTAATCCTGGAGTTTCTCCCACTGCTAATTTTTTGTCCTCTCTATTGGATTCTGAGGTGACCCAGTTAACCGAAAGCACCAGCGTGGAAGCTCTTCACCAGGCTTCCATTTCTACAGTAACTGGAGCTCAGCGCTTTGAGGAGGCTCTCCAGACTGAATTCAAGCTCAAGTTGGCCAACACACCAGGGAAGAAGAATTTGCGGATGGTCATTATTGATGGTAGCAACGTGGCCATGATGTGAGTTGGGGCTGGGGAAGAAAATCTGATAAAAATCCAATTCTTATCACTATAGCCTCCCTTTCCCTCTCCTTTCCCCTCTCCCTCCCCTCCTCTTTCTTCTCTCCCCTCCCCTCCTCTCTTCCTCCCCTCCTCTCCTCTCCCTTCTTCTCCTCTCCCCACCCCTTCTCTCTTCTCACCCTCCCTTCTTTCCCCTCCCCTCCTCTCCTAAGGATAAGAGTCATAGACTTGTTCCAACTTTGTGGGCCATTCTTTACCTAATATACAGGTTTGTGCTAATTGCCTCCACTTTTTTCACGAAGTCCTTCCTGTTTCCTCCTACATGCTGTCATTTGGAGGGCATCCCACAAGTGACTCAATTGACTTTCCCACGTTCCTGACCTTAGACTTTCATAGATCTAAATCTCTACCTGTTTTCTTTTCTCAGGCATGGTCTGAACCAATTCTTTTCATGCCGAGGAATCGCCCTAGCTGTGCAATATTTCTGGGACCGAGGCCACCGTGAAGTGAATGTCTTAGTGCCCGCTTATCGAATGGAAGAAGATTCCAATGTGAGAGGTGGGCAGTTTTTGCTTTTTTGTTTTTTTGTTTTTCAAAAGCAGACACCTGAAACACCTTTTGGCTGATTTCCTGCAGGAATTTTATTCAAATCATGGATGGCTGAAAAATGTATTGAATCTACGGTATGTATTTGCAAATGAATGAAATGGGGATGCTGGTTATTTAAACATCATATGGAGGACTTCCACCAGCATTATCTAAACAGAGGCATTTGTAGCAGTCTAATGGCTCAGTGGCTATTGATCAGAAATGTCAGCAGTTTGGCAGTTCGAATCCCTAGTGCTGCGTAATGGAGTGAGCTCCCATTACTTGTCCCAGGTTCTGCCAACCTAGCAGTTCGAAAGCATGTAAAAAATGCAAGTAGAAAAATAGGGACCTTTGGGTGGGAAGGTAAGTGTTCCGTGCGCCTTCGCTGTTTAATCATGCCGGCCACATGACTACAGAGACGTCTTTGGGCAGCGTTGACTCATTGGCTTTGTAACAGAGATGAGCATCGCTCCCTAGAGCCAAAAACGACTAGCACATATGCCCCATATTCACGGGAGGAACCTTTACCTTTAATAATCCAGGGAAAGAGAAGCCAGATACTACTACCCTGGCTTTTCTAGTAAATACTAATATTAAAAATAGTTACTCGCCGATTTGTTGCAATGTGGAATGTTTCTTCCCATTTATTTCTTTTATTTCAAGTATATTTATACCTTGAATGGCCTGCTCTCCCCATGTCCCTTTCAATTCTCTTGTGAGATTGAGGAGCCAATCAGATGCATAGATTGGAGCTCATCAGCCCATCAGATGCATAGTTTGAGGTTAGAACTCGTTAACAAATCAGATACCTAGACTGAAGGTGGAACTCATGAGCCAATCAAATGCATAGATTGAGAGTAGAACTCACCAGCCAATCAGATTCACAAATTGAGGGTGGCTAAAGATTTCAGTGTGAGCCTCCCTAATTCTTCAACCATACTGGTGGCTACTGCAGCAATCCTTCATGGATTAATTTAAGGAAGACATCTTGTTGATATCTAGTGGAACTTCATTTGTGTTGAGCTGCAATCAATAAGCAAATCTACTCGTGTATTTTGACCACTGTATTCTTTTTTTCTTTTTCCCTGCTTCCCTACCCCTTCCCCAATCCCAGAGAGGCACTTTTTGACTGAGCTGCACAACCTAAGAATCCTGTCCCTTACACCATCACGGAAAATCGACGGGAGAGGCATTGTCCCATATGATGACAGGTGAGCTCCATTGTTGGATTAGTTACTAAAAGCAGTCAGTGTTTCCTGGAGTTTCTAACCTTGGTTGTTTGCTTGCAGATGTTTCATTACCCAACTAGGTAATGTCATTGGTGCTGGTAAGTGTGGGGATAGTTCCCTGTTTCCATCCATCAGTTTATCCTGCCAGTGTTGGTGAGAGTGTGCTTTCCTCCTTCGTAGTTTCTTGATTGGGGTGTTGCTTTCTGCTTGTTTGTCTTGTATTAATCCTTGGTTTTGGTTGCTGGAAAGGATGTGTACTGGTTTGTTTATTCCCTTCTTAGCTTTTTATTGTCTCTTTTTAATGGTGTGTAAATATGGCTTATCACCATGTGTTTATTGGTGGCTGATTTGTCTGAAAGCCAAGCTTCCAGGAATTCCCTTGCATTTTTGGATTTAATGTGGTTTGGGATGTTCAGATTCCCAGTTGAAACTAGGTTTGAATTTGCCCTGTTGTAAGATAATCTTCTATTGGAACAAAAGTTTTTGTGCCTGCAGAAGTGGTTGCTGCTTGTTTAATTCAGGGGGTTGAGTCACCAAAGGAATATGGAAATCAATGCACCTCAGAGTGGATATGGAGCAATTCTGTTTGGAGTGGAAACAACACCTTCAAACTGTTGTCCCACCACTCCATGCCCCTGTTCAAAATCATCTTCATAGTTTATTTTTTTATTATTAGATAACTTTCAAAATCTGCTTCTTCTTGTTCTTCTACAGGAGGTGCCCAAGATAGTTTAGACCAGGGGTCAATAACCTTAAACACTCAAAGAGCCACAAAGGTCCTAACCGGAAGCCCCCTGTTCAATTCTGGAGTTGACCGGAAGAGTCTTCTCCTAGTGCAGCGTCCTTTTTTCTCTGCTAACCGAAGTCCGGTTCTCCCCACCATAGACTCTCCTCCTAGCACAGTGTCCTTTTTCCTCTACCTCTCCTAACTGGAAGCCCTATCAATTGTGGAGCCGACCAGCAACAGGGAGCTGCAGCAGAGGGATGAAAGAGCCACATGCAGCTCCAGAGCCATGGGTTGCTGACAGCTGGTTTAAGCTAACTTGAGAATCCCTCTTGGGACCATTACTGACTTTGTGGTAGAAATGACAATATTACAATATAAGACCCTTGTTTTTTGAAAAGACTCAAGAGGCCAGAACACACACAAGACCCATGATGGCGAACCTATGGCATGCGTGTTGGAAGTGGCACGCAGAACCATTTCTGCCAGCATGTGAGCTGTTGCCTGGAACTGATTCACTGCGCACGCATGTGCGCCCTTCCACCAGCCAGCTGATTGTCGGGTATCTGCCATGCATGCACAGGTGGTGGTGGGCACAGGTGGGGTCACAAGCGCATTGCATTATACATGCAGGGATACATGCGTGTGCACTTTTGGCATGAGATGACAAAAAGGTTAGCCATCCTTGCCCTAGACTAATGTTGTCAGTTGCTAAGTCGTGCCTGACTGTTCGTGACCCCATAGATCATAGCATACCAGCCCCCCACCCTGTCCTCCACTGTCTCCTGGACAGTATTTACCCAAATTCATGTCTATTTCCATCGATGACACCATCTAACCATCTCATCCTCTATCATCCCCTTTTCCTTTTGCCTTCAACCTTTCCCAACATCAGGATGTTTCCCAATGAGTCCTTGATTCCCACTTGTATTTGAGCTTGACCAACATTAGCTAGGGATATTCTTCAATTGCTTTTACGTACTCAAAACAGCTCAGTCTTCTAATAATGTAATCTTACTCGTGGTCTCAAATGCATCAAGTTGTGTGGATTTTTGTTTCTGTACAAAATGCAGAGGATTGACGTTAAAGATGTGGAAGGCTGCGAAGATTTTCCCACATCATCAGGTATTTTCCCACGTTGTGCTTTTAAAGTTGTAGCAACGTTTCGGCAGAATCTCATCTGCCATCATCAGGCTTCTGTATTGTGTTTGTCTATGAGTCAGACTTTTACAGTTGTTTCAGTTTTAAATTTGGGGCTAGCCTACTGCTGTGCCAGAATGGTTTTTTCTTCATCCTGATTGGTTGGGAGTCTTGGTCTGTGTTTATTGGTCTTGGAGTTTGCTGTGTTCTGCTTGATTGGTATTTCTAATATCTTCTGTCTGTTTTGTGGCTCTTTTTGTGTCTTGATTGGTTGGCAACATTGTGTTCCTGTATTGGAGGCTTTTAGTGCAGCTTGGCTCTGAGTAAATGGACGGCTATCATTTGTTAGAAAGCTAGGTTTCATCTAGGTGTCTGGTTGGGGTGTGTTTGAGCTGGAGGTATCAGGGAGGATCTGTTTGTGCCCAGGTGTTTGCCTGGCTAGTGGTGGAGATTTTCTTGTTTGTGAGTGCAGGCTTCCAAATAATGTATGTATGTATGTATGTATGTATGTATGTATGTATATACACACACACATACATACACACATACACACATACATATATATGTATATATACACATATATATAAACACACACACACACACACACACACACACACACATATATAAAATCCAGGCCCTCTTCTCTATTCTCTTCTCTATTCAGTGTAGTTTCTGGATTACAACAGTTCACTTAGTGACCATTTGAAGTTGCAAGGGCACTGAAAAAAGAGAGTTATGACCCTCTTTCCCACTTAATGACTAACGTAGCAACTATGGCCACATGAGCAAAATTCTGATAGTTGGCAACTGACTCATATTTATGACAGTTGCAGTATCCTAGGGCCACATGATCACTTTTTTTGATCTTCTGGCAAACAGAGTCAGAAGCCAGATTCATTTAACGACCATGTTACTGACTTAGCATTGTTGCGATTCATTTAACAACTGTTAAATGGTCATAAAATGGGGCAAAATTCACTTAACTGTTTCATCTAGCCACATAAATATTGAGCTCAATAATGGTTGTAAGTCAAGGACTACCTGTAGTAATCTTGTGTGAGTTGGCTTGTACAGGGTTTTTTCAATTCTTCATTCACCAGCAAATATATCCATTTAAATGTGCACATGAGCTGACGCATGAAGTCAAAACACGCTTTGGAGTTTTGAAAATGAACCTTTCTTGTAAGCCAGTAGGATTTTTTTGAAACTCTTAGATGCAAGATGGCAAATGCATAACAATGGATTAAGAATAGAGTAGAGTAGAATCGAATCAAATAGGATAGGAAAGAGAATAGAGTAGAGTAGAGTAGAGTAGAGTAGAGTAGAGTAGAGTAGAGTAGAGTAGAGTAGAGTAGAAGAGGAAAGAGAATAGAATAAAATAGAGTTCAGAAGAGTAGAGTAGAATCGAATCAAATAGAATAGGATAGGAAAGAGAATATAATAGAGTAAAATAGAATAGAATAGAACAGAACAGAACAGAATTATTTATTGGCCAAGTGTGATTGGACACACAATGAATTTGTCTTTGGTGCATATGCTCCCAGTGTACATAAAGAAAAAATAAAATACACTCACAAAGAATCATAAGATACAACACTTAGTGATAGTCATAGGTTACTAATAAGCAATCAAATCATACATAGGTTACTAATATGCAATCAAAACATACTAAGAAAACGAAACAATATAAATTGTAGAGATACAAGCACCATGGTTATAGTGATAAGTGGGAAGAGATAGGTAATAGGAAGGATGAGAAGAAGAATAGTAATACAATCTTACTAAGCAATTTGACAGTGTTGTGGGAGTTAGTTGTTTATGGGAGTTAGTTGTTTAGTTAAGGATGGGGGCAAATTCAGAAAGTTGGCTTAGGGTAGGATAAAGCTACTGATCTCCTGCCTGTCATCAAATTTCTCCATTGAGATCAACACTTGAATTAGTACAGATGAGAAATTCTAACACAGGGCCTTACACAAAACAAACATTCCTGTTTCAGCATTATTAATTCCTTCTTCATTAAAGAAAAGGACAGAATTTGAAACAGACCATTCTTCTTTCGATCAGAAAAGTAGATAGGATAACAGTTTGTGTATTTGTGTGCAAGCACCTATATTTGTGTTGCATACTGGGGAAGCATTTGCAGCCAGCTTGCTGTTTGCTGCGGGAACTTTGAAATGTGTTATTTGATTAATAGCAAGGATCAAAATTGGTTGCTTCATTTGTGCTTATGACCTTAGGACAAAAACAAGAAAACTCCTGCCAAGGAGCAAGCTTTTATGATAAAGGACACTATTTGTAGCTCTGGGATAAGTGTGTGCTGGCCTATTGGTAAAGACAACCACCTCTCAAGAAGATTGTGTTCTGACCAAGGCTTATGGAGACGCTAACAAACACACGTTAGTCCCCAAACCCTTTTTTCTTGATTTCAACAGCTGTGAATTTTAGTCACTCACAGCCAGTAATCAACTTGAAACAGTTTGTAAATAGTTCCATGGAAGTTTGCCAAAGTTCTTCAGGATAAGTCTGATAAGCACACATCTTTATCTTCCTTGAAATGCTGCCAATGACTAAATATCCAGTTAGTTATACGTGGTCAAAAGAGAACACAAATTCAACACAGATTTTCAGGTTTCAAACCAACCAGTATGATCAAAGTTGCTTCCTGCAAAGATTCCTGTCCTTTTGCTCCTCCTTTATGTCTTATGGGAGGGCCAATCACCTCCAAGCCTTACTCCTGAGTCACCCCTTTTGTCTTAACTGTTCTTGCCTTCTGGCAGCTCTGCGCACACGTGCACCGGGAACAGGCTCCCCTTGTTCCTCTGCCTTGCTGCTGTCAGATTCTGGGGGCTCCGGAGTCAGCACATAACCCCCAGATGGCCCTGGCCCCATCTCTGTATCAGACACAGGACCCTCGTCCAAGTCCTCCCCAGACTCCCAGATTGGCATATATTCCTCTCCACTGTCCGACTCTGCTGCCATCTCTGCAGGCTGCTGACTGACCATAATAGGTTGAAAGTTCAATCCTAGGTAGCAGCAAATGTTTTTTTTTTTTCCTAGGGTGCAAAGAAAAAACATCTGCTGTAAACTCTGCTGTGTGGCATGAGGAAGGGCATCTGGCCAGTAAATGTTCAGCTTCATCCAGTCACTCCGGCTGTACCCCAAATTAAGGGCTTACAGGGTCGTAAAAAGGGACTATTTTATCTGTAGCAGGGTTGAAATGAAGGGTCTTTGGTGCTCTCCGAGCTTGGTTGTTTTCCTGCATACATTTTCTTACCCAAACTAGGTAATATCATCAATGCTCGTAAGGAATGGATCAATAGCACTGATGATGTCATCTAGTTTGGGTAATGAAACATCTGCAAGAGAACAAGCTCAGAGAACACCAGCGACCAAAAGTTGCTGTTCCACCTTTAAAATATTTCAAATTGCTTCTTTGGGCAGGAAATATTGCTTGTGGCCAAATTTGGGGAAATTGAGATGAACATGCAGAGAGAGCTTTTTTTTTCTTTTTTCTTTTTTGAGAATTATCCACCCAGTTATTTCAACATTTGCTGAGCAGAACTGGTGGATAATAATGAAGTCATTCTTTTACAGGGACTGGTAATGGGATTTTCCCCAGGGCTTTCTCGGTTTCAAGGCAAATGAACGGCTTCATTTTGTGTGTGTGTGTGTGTGTGTGTGTAGGTCACATGAGTCCTTAGACACCAAATGGAAGCAGGAAATGATTCTGCCAACCGATTAGACACACAGTGAAAATTTAATTTTGGAGTCAAATTCCCTGTCGTACTAAGGAACAAAAACCTGTTGCGGCCATTAAAACAGACAACAGGATTTATTGCAACTAAGTATTAAGTTTACTAAGCGGTACTTTGCTACTCAACTGCTTTGAAATTCACCCAGTTTAGTACTCAACACATTTTTGACACAAAAAAGTTTGTCCCGGCACTTGTTTGTTTGGTACTCAATGCACAAAGTAGAATATGTCAGTGTCGGCTGCCTTGTGGCTTACTAGATTATTCCTTATGGGAAAAAAATTGTTTAGTACTCATCGCTTTTGGTACTCATCTTACCTCCCAGAACCAATTAACAATGAGTACCAAGGCACCATTGTATTTACAATGATTTAATAGCCCTCTTGCCTCACAAATAATCCTAGAAATAGAAATTTGGGCTCTTGCGCAGAGTTTGAATTTATTCACTTTGATGGCCCGTTCTGATTCTAAAGATCTGTGAAAAGAAGTAGGGAGATAACTTGTATGTGCCTGTGGTTGGAGCCCCTAACTTCCTAAGCTCTATTGTGGTTTATTTTTGCATGTACTCACTTTTCAGTTGAACTAGTTCAAAGAACTATAGCTTAGTGTAAGTGTGAGCCACCTTGGATATTCCAGCAGATGCTTATCTTGTTGGATACAGAAAATAACAATATTTGGAGAACTATTCCCAGCTGAATGTGAGGTGTACATTTAACAGTTGATTATGATTAAGTGAGGATTTGATCCTTAGTCACTCCTCCCAAACTCTAGATAGCCATCACTCTGCTAAGTACCTAATTTCCACAACACTGTCTTATGCTTAAAGATATTTATCCATTTAGTAGGGCGGTATTGCTATTATCCTTCTTATCTTTTTCATCTTATCTTTCCTACTACCTTCTCCTGGGGGTATCTTACGGTTTTATCACTTGTTGTTTGCATCTTATGAATTATGATAATTGTATCTATCTTATAGGGATGTGGTGGCTCAGTGGCTAAGATGCTGAGCTTGTTGATCAGAAAGTTGGCAGTTCAGCAGTTCAAATCCCTAGTGCCATGTAATGGAGTGAACCTCCGTTACTTGTTCCAACTTCTGCCAACCAAGCAGTTCAAAAGCATGTAAAAAATGCAAGTAGAAAAACAGGGATCCCTTTGGTGGGAAACTGACAGTGCTCCATGTTCCTTTGGCATTTAGTCATGTTGGACACATGACCATGGTGATATCTTTGGACAGCACTGGCTCTTTGGCTTTGTAATGGAGATGAACACCACCCCTAGAGCCAGAAACTATTGGCACGTATGTGCAGGGAAACCTTTACCTATCTATCTTATGATTTATGATCTGTGACTTATCACTTTGTTATTTGTATGTACACTGAGAACTTAGGCACCAGAGATGAATTCCTTGTATGTCCAATCACACTTGGCCATTCAAGAATATTCCAATTCTAATTCCAATATATCAGCCTGGTAGAGAAAGAACAGGAAATGGTGTAGCGGTCCCATTGTTTTTTTCAGCTGAGGTTCAAGAGAAATCCTAGATTGTTTGTTTCTTCTCACTTTTATTTTCCATCATTCAGTCTTGTCCGAACCTTGGCGATTTTGTAGGCAAGTGCTCTCCATGCTACCCTTTCAGGCACAGCTTCTTTCAGTTGCTGGATGTTCATCGTTGCATCAACATCTTTGATGGCATCAATCAAGCAAATTCTTTGCTTGCCCATATTGTTATTCCACCAACCCTTCCTAGCATTGACTTGTCCAATGAATTGGCACCCATGACATGGCCAAAGTAAATCAGACATACTCTTCTGACTTCATGTCCATCCATCCATCCATCCACCCACCCACCCACCTACTTACCTATCTACTACCTATCTGTATCTTGGCTTTCCTATGTTTACAAATAACTCAAGGTGGCAAATATATCCAACTTTCCTCCACCTACTTTCCCCACAGCAACAATTTTAAGAAGTGAGTTGAGCTGAGAGAGAGAGGGACTGGCCCAAAGTCACCCAGTTGGTTTTTCATGGTTAAGGCAGGACTTGAACTCACAATCTCTTGCTTTCTAACCTGGTGTCTTTGTGGTTGCAAACAACGTGGCTATCTCAGTAACTCATGGATCAATAATGGTAGACCGAAAAGAGATTGTGCTCTGTTGTTGGTATGGCTGTAAAGGAGAAACAAGTCTTGCTTCCTAGACAAGACCTTTGTCCTTCCAGATCTTTTGCAATGTGACAAGTATCCATGATAGATGTGAATCTTTCCTCAAAGGAAGTTTGAGAACCTTGAAACAGACATGGTAAAATTATACCAATTAATTTCGCTATTGGGTCTTCTTTTACATGTCTTTCATTGGACTACAGAATGATGTTGAAACTAGCAGAACAGACCAACGGGGTTATTGTCACCAACGACCAGTTCCGGGACCTTGCCAAAGAATCGAAGAGATGGATCAAGATAATCAAGGAGAGGTGAAGATGGATTCTTGAATTTGGGAGCTTAGTGGGGTAGAGCAAGAGGCAATATTTTTTATGAAAGGAGCTTCTAGATCAGGGGTGGGGAAGCATGGCCCCTTTATGACTTGTGGACTTCAATGCCCAAAATTCCTGAGCCAGGATGACTGGCTCAGGAATTCTGGGAGTTGAAGTCCACATGTCACACAAGGGCCATC